GTGTAAATTAATAAATTTACAGTCAGAATTGTTTATTTGAAACAACAACTTTGTAATCTATATATCCACCAAAGTTTACCTTGGATAATAATAAAGTTGAATTTATTGAAAAATCATTTGATTCCCATAACATAAGAGTATATTTACGAGAGCAATAATACCCTTAACGACTTTTTGTAATTTATTGAGAGAGAATTTTCATCCAATATGTACAACGACTATATATACATATATGCACCTCAAAAGTTCTTGTTTGACAATGATAAAAGGGAAATAGAAATTGTCTGACTAGCACCAAGTTGACAGTATAGATATTACAGACTGAAAGCTGAATATCCTGTCATCGACCATTAGTCAGAGAAAATCCTTTCAACCAACCAAAACCCAATCTTTACAAATATTGGATTTTTCATCTTATATTTTAATATTCCGTTTATTTTTCTAATTTATATTATTTAAAAAAATTGCTTTTTAATTATCATATGTCAAAACTATTTGTATCGAATAAATCAAAAGAAACGAGAAAATTATTGCTATAACAGAAAATGAAAGTACGTACTTTATATGAGATTGTCTGACTAACGTGGGACATCACTACTTTATATGAAGTAGTAAAAACCGCGCTTAGTCAGACTGGCAAGATAACTTTTTTTTCAGAATCATGAGAAAACCAATAAAAGATTTTTAACAGTATCATAAAAAATTATATTTTCTACTTTTAGAACCGCAACTATTCAAATTACCATTGTTTTAAAACTATACCGCAATAATTGAAATTGAACTATTAAAATTTTATTGAAAATTATTAAAAATACTCAAACTTTTATATTAAGTAAAACTTTAATTTAATGCGGTATAACCGCATTTTTGTCAAAAATATTGGTACACTAATACGACGAGATAAAAATAAGTAACAAGGGAAAAAAATCTTCACCTGGAACAGAGATATAAGTTTCACTGGAACAGCGATATGTTTCACTAAAATAGGGAAAATTTTTGCTATTCTAGAGAAACTGCAAAATTAGGATTACTGCGGAAGTAGAAATCAAAATGAGTAAAAATTACTATCAGTGAAAGTGGAAGTGAAAGTGAAAATAAGACTAATCATTTTGAACAAAAACGACTTTTGAAATATTAAATAATTTTCAACCGCAGTATGTCAAAAGTTTAGAGAACAAATCGGAAGAAAAAAATTTCGCTTCCATATATACATATATATATAATTTCAAGAGTAAGTTTAATGACATTCGAGAAATTTATAGCAAGCATTACTCAATGTTATAAAAAATATATGTTATATCGCATCTAGAAGACGTGCCTTCGATGTTGCTTGTTTTCTATATTTATATATGATTTATAACTATAAAACATTATTCATTTGACAACGACATTCTCTACCTCTATATACATCGCGTCTGAAAATTCACCCTCTCTCTCTCTAATTAATGCACTTCCACTATTTTGTAACTATCCAATTACATCGAAAATCCAGGCAACTAGGGAATCACAGTTCTTGAGACAAGTTTTCCTGACACTCGATTTAATTGTAACATTCATTCAACTTTCGCTTCACTATTCATTTCAAAATACTTTAATTTCTTTCTTGTTATATCCAAGGAAAAATTATATATATATATTTTTTTTTTCCTAAATCCATTAAAAGAGATTTTGTAAAATTTATTTAAAAGATTTCACTAAAAAATTGATTTTATTTTAAAAATAATTGTCGCAAATGTAAAATTAAAAATAAAGGAATCACAATGAAAAACAAAAATTTCATTGATTCAAATAAATGTTCATTTGAACTAAGTAAATATTCATTTGAACCAAATAAATATTTATTTGAACCAAATAATTTTTATTTGAATTAAATAATTGTTATTTGAAACAAATAATTTTTATTTGAATTAAATAATTTTTATTTGAACCAAATAATTTTTATTTGAATTGATTATTTGATTATTTAATTGACTCAAATAATATATAATTATTTAATACAAATAAATATTTATTTCATTTTAGTCAAGTAACGGATTAATTGAATCAAATAAAATTTTTTTTTTCCAGTGCATTATTAACACTTTAAAGTTAATAATAGAATAAAAATAAATTTTACAAGAAACTTTCAATGGAAGAAGTTTTAATTTGAAAACTATGCAATACTTAGATATATGAATTGCTGGAATTATTTGGTAATATTCAGTTTAAGGAGGCAACATTCTAAGACTCGTAAAAGAGTTTCATTAAACTCTATATCTACCCTTATAACGCACTCAACCGTTAACCCCAATTGTTACCTAATGCCCTCGTATTTCTAAATGTCATTAATCTCTAACGATTCTCAATTAAAATATCATCTTTTACTGCTTTAAGAAAATTCCAAAGGTGAATCATTTTTTTTCTCTCATCAAAAGTTACAATTAAAAAACTAATATTTTCTTTTCACCCCCTTCATATAATAACTTTTTTCTAAATGGAAAATTTTGATATTAAAATGACAATTTTTATTCTTAAAAATTGCACATTTTTTTCTTTTATTGATTTTAGAAACGGTACTTCATAAATGTTAATATTTTCCGTAATACTTTGATACAAAAGTATTATTATTACTATTACAATTATTATTATTAATTTATATTATCATTATATTATTTTTATTATGATTATTATTATTAATTACATTAATGAAGTACAGTTTCTAAAATCAATAAAAGAAAAAAATGTGCAATTTTTAAGAATAAAAATTCTCATTTTAATATCAAAATTTTCCATTTAGAAAAAAGTTATTATATAAAGGGGGTGAAAAGAAAGTATATTTTTATATATATATATATATATATAAACGGGGTAAATCAAAGCAATAAATTTTCACTGTCGAAAGCGAGTGGAGAAAAAGAGTGTGGGAAATGCGTTGCTTGCAAATTGTGCACAATGTACAATTTTAGCTGACATCACGAGATGTAAATCAGCAATGTAAAACCACCAGTGGCAATGGCCTTTCTCTCAAACTGCGACTGGTTCCAGCATCCGTACCACCCATATTTTTTTTTTTTACTAACTTCCCTCTTCCGCTCATTTTCATTCGGCTTTATTTTATCCCTTCGATCACACTACTGAATTACCTCTATTGTTATATTTATTGACATATACAATAATTTATGTTAATTTTCATCCGCATTCATTTATTATATAACTTCAATAACATTTTTTTGTAAATTCAATGAAATGGAAAAAAAAGAGAGAGAGAGAGAAAACAAACAAAAAAAAAGAGAACAAAAATTTATAAGTAATTCATAATTATAAAAAGATTCATAATCATAAAATTGTATACTAACACACTGAAAAATAGTTTGGTATTGACAACCAAACGTTTGGTTGGTATTTAAGCAACCAAAATTTTTTTATTGAATTAACAAAATTTTAATTATCTCAATCAAAATTTATTTGACACAACCAAAATTAGAAAAAAAGGATTTTTGTTGTCCCTAACTAAAGTTTGATTGGGACAACCAAAATTTTGTTGATTCAACCAAAAAAAATTTGGTTGCTTAAATACCAACCAAACGTTTGGTTGTCAATACCAAACCCTTTTTCAGTGTGTTAGGATACATTTTTAAAATTATGAATCTTTTTATAATTATGAATTACTTATAAATTTTTGTTCTCTTTATATAAAAGAAGAAAACGACATAATGAATTTTAGCCGAAATATAAAAAAACTAAACGATCGTAAAAGTTAAGCAAAATCGATATAGAAATCAAATCTCAAGGTTTCCGTGAATTTTTTTATTTTTTTTTTCTATATCAAAAATTTGGACAATATAATGATAATTAAAATAAAACAAACAATATCCAATTGTTAATTGAATTTAATTATCGATGACATTGTCAAGGATTGAATTGCAATTGGAGTCACAGAATGAAGTCAACGAGGTAGAAATCAGAGGCGTGCAAATTAGCGCAACTGCTGAGTCAATGAGCTGAACTTGACTGACGGCTTTTGAAACGGTAAAGGGAACATCACTAAAGTGTTCATTCAGTCGTACGTTGCAGTTAACACGAAACCTCGTTCTTCTCACTGTTACAAAATAATTGTTTTCCGTCTTCATTCAACAAAAACAAACTATTAAATTGGGAAAATGAATTTCCCGTCTAATCCAATTAAAATCAGAATAAAATATTTATTACATTACTTTATTTACTATATTACTAAAAAAAATTTTTTTAAAAAATAATATTGCACAATATTTTTCATTTAACATTTATCAAATAAAAATATATCTAAATTATAATTTCTTTTTGATTATATTTGACAAATGTGTGTAAATTTTCAAATTCCCCAAACTTTACGGGAAAAAAAATTTCATATAAAAGGTTTCACTAGAATAGCGAAACTTTTATTTGTTTCAATTAAATTTTTCCCTATTCTAGTGAAACCTTTCGCTGTTCGAAGTAAATTTTTTTTCTCACGTTTAATTAGAAAATAGAAAATAAAAATTTTCTTTTAAATTAATTTTACTCAATTTTATTTTAATTACTTTAACTTTTATATAAACGAATTATAATTATTGATTCCAATTAATTGTAGGACGAAATAAAACTTCGCTCGATTTCCAATTAAAGAAAGATATGAAACACCAATCAATTAAAATTCGCGATAATAAAAAAAGCTCCACTCACTCCTCTTAATTAATTTCCCATTCTAATTTTTGATTTGTCAACGATTCTCCCAAGCTGAAGTGTATGATAATTATTCAATACATTAAAATTTAATTTTTTTCAATTAATTAATATCTATAAAAAATTGATACAAATATTACACTAAAAAAAAAAAATTATTTGATTCATATAAAAATTATTTGGTTCAAGTAAATATTTATTTGATATCGAGTATTTGAATCAAATAAATTTTTTTCAGTGTAATATCTATAAAAAGTGATACAAATATAAATAATTTACTACATTAAAAAAAGATTAAATTAATTTTTTTCTGATTTCAGATTCGAGAGGAAATCGATGCTAAATCACCTAAAAAAAAAATCATGAATGTTCCTGAATATTTATTAATTCATTGCTCAAGTCATTGTGTCTCATTAGAACTATATTATCAAGAAAAACTAATGGGGAAAAAATATAAATGATTTTTCCAAAGAAACTTGACAGATCGATTATAAATTATTTTATCATCAATATTGTGGAAAGCAAAAGAAAAATGCCTCTGATTTCGGCAAAAAAAATTTAAAAAGTAAAATATCGTATCTAGCACGCCAACACTTATATTCAATTGAATTAACTATTCAAGCTCACTTGCGCAATTAAGTTCCCGAGTTCAGGAACGAAAATGAACGAAAAGAGATGACAAAGAGAATAATGTGACTATATATATATATATAATTTCTTGGCGAGTCTCCATTTCAACGCCGAAGATGATCGAACGAACACTTTCTATTATTTCTTATAATCGCGTTCGTCACGTGGTGTATTCGAAACAGTGCCAACTAATTCAAAATTAAAACAAAACAAAAAATTTTCAACTAAATCCAAAATTTTAACAATAAAACTTGATATTAAAATATTACGAAACAAAAAAGTGAAATAAAAACTAATTTTGAAGAATATATTCGCGATTAAATTATTAAAAAATATTAATTTGCAAATATTAAATAAAGTGAATAAGAAAAATAAAGTGGTTGTGAAGTTTCGAAAAAAAAAAAAAAAATACCTAAAATTCAGAAGCAAATGTAAAGGAAAATCTTATTCAAAAATGTATTGCAGAAAATAAAATACAAAATGTAGTGGAAACTAAAATATGTAATAGGGGGAATAAGATAAGAAGAAAAAAGAGAAGAGTTTCAATGATATCGAACAGCGAACCTGGATAAAAATGCTAACATAAGAGAAGAAGAAGAAGAAGAAAAAAAAAATTCTCGAGGGCGATAAAAGTAAAAGGGTCTGTGTGGGAGGGTGGAGAGAAGAGAAAGAGAGAGAGAGAGACACACACACAAAAGATTTAAAAACGATGGAAGTAAGTTCTGCACTGAGGAACATCACCGACGGCAACACCGGAAATTTTACCGTTCATCTTTTCGCCAGCAACATTACTCGTAATCTTGCAACAGTCACCAAGAAAAACGAGATCCTTGAATGCGAGGTCGAGCTCAAGGATGGGTTATTTGAGTTCATCGTTTGTGGTATACTTTTGAATCTCGTGAGTCTCTTTGGCATCTTTGGAAATACAATCTCAATGATCATTTTATCAAGACCTCAAATGAAGTCCTCTATTAATTACCTTCTTATCGGTCTAGCAAGATGTGATAGCGTTCTCATCATCATAGCTGTGAGTATAATTTCATACTTTTTTTTCTGAGGGGGAGAAAGCTTCCTTATACATATATAAAAACACGTCTTATGTAATTAATCATCCTCCGTTTATATATATATATAAAGCCAAAATCGTTTCATCCCCTATAAATATTGCGTAGGTACACAAAAGTTGTTTCCAAAAAATGGAAAAATTTTACCTAATTGCTAATTGCTTTACCTAATTCAAAATTATTTTACCTAATTCCTAATCACTTTACCTAATTTCAAATCTAAGAAATAGGTCTAAACTAGAAATAGATCATAGATTATTAGGACAAATAAGAAATAGGTTAGATTAAAATTAGAATAAATCACTGTAAAACCCAGATAGCACGGAAACTTGCAGCAAGATTGCGGCAAGTTCACCGTGCAAGCTTGCTGCAAGCTTGTCTGAGCTAGCGAAATGTCCCACCCAGGGCAAGCTTGCCGTGAAAGCTTGCTGTAAGCTTTCTAGGAAAGGCCATGAAAGGCCAAATCTTGCCATGAAAGATTGCTACAAGATTGCTGCTAAGCATACTAAGAATGATTGCGGCAAGCTTGCCGTGAAAGATTGCTGTAAGCTTGCTACGTAAAGTTGCAGGAGAATTTCAACAAGCTTCTGGAAAGGTTGCTGCAAGCTTGCTGCAATTTTTAAAAAATACATTTTAAATTTTAAAAAAATTTTAAAACTTTTAATTTAAAAAAAATTTTAAATGTATTTTTTAAAAATTGCAGCAAGCTTGCAGCAACCTTTCCAGAAGCTTGTTGAAATTCTCCTGCAACTTTACGTAGCAAGCTTACAGCAATCTTTCACGGCAAGCTTGCCGCAATCATTCTTAGTATGCTTAGCAGCAATCTTGTAGCAATCTTTCATGGCAAGATTTGGCCTTTCATGGCCTTTCCTAGAAAGCTTACAGCAAGCTTTCACGGCAAGCTTGCCCTGGGTGGGACATTTCGCTAGCTCAGACAAGCTTGCAGCAAGCTTGCGCGGCAAGCTTGACAAGCTTGCACGGTGAACTTGCCGCAAGCTTGCTGCAAGTTTCCGTGCTATCTGGGAAGGTATTAATTTAATACAAACTTTTGGTACTTAATTCTCATCTCATTCTATTTTGATACCTAAAATCGGTAATATTTTAGTACTTTCTTTTTAAGAATAGAGACATGTATAGATTAGGCTAAATAAGAATTAGGTTACAAAAAAGTTAGGCTAAAAAATTAGCTAAAATAAGGAATCGATTAACAAATATTATACCAAAATAATATTAAATTGGGTCAAGTAAAAATTAAACGAAGATTATGTCAAAGAAGAATTAGGCCATACGACGATTGTAACATTATTGAATTTAGGTCAATTAAATAAAGAACCATTTGAAATTTGTGAAAAAATTCATAAATAGAAAAATAATTTTCACAAATCTATAGATAAGATATTACAAACTTATAATTTGTATGCAACTTTATGGGTATTATATAGGATTATTTTTGGCAAACATTTCAGAATATATATATTGCATAAAATATTTAGTTATCGATTTGAGAAGACGACATATAAATCAGACTAACTGGTATTCATAAATCAAATATATATATTGGAGAACACTGTGTGCGCAAAATTTAAATTATTCAAAGTGTGATATTTGTAAATTCACGAAATTCCAAGTGGGTTTTTTTTTTTTTTTTTTGAAGCGTGTGTGTATATATCAATTATAATGTTAAGCCTGTGCAAAAAAGAGAAGCTTTTCATTTTGTTGGTATAGTGTATATAGTGTGATTTGACTTGGTTGCATTGTAACCGATCATAAATCTTTGGATTAACGAGAGACTAAAGTGTTGCGCTTTTCTGAAACGGAAAGGCAGATGTCGGAGATAAAAATGTACCTATTATCCGTAGAAAAGAAAAACACTTTTCTTTATTTTTAAAGTTACTAATTCTTTCGAAAATAGAATGTAACACTATTGATTTTAATGCTTAAATACACGTGAAAGATTTTTTATTTCAAAAATTAATTAAAATAAGGAAAATTGTTTTTTTTTGTACTACTTATAGTCGTACTAGTTTCTAACCAAAAAACACCAAAATTTCTAACCAAAATAATATGGTCCATACTAATTTTCAGTATTATCTGGTACGACAAAGTAAAACAAAAACAGTTTTCCTCATTTTGAAACAAATTATATATTAATTTTTGAAATAAAAATTCCTTAAGTGTTTCAAATTTTTTGAAGAAAAACAAAAATTTGTTTTTTGTTATAGGTGATGATTCACGGTTTGCCAGCAATTTATTCATACACCGGTTGCATGTTCGATTACAAATTCTACGTTTTTCCAAAAATTGTCAAGTACTTGTACCCAGTGTCCTTGGCGGCGCAAATGGTGACGGTATATTTAACCTTGACCGTGACCATGGAACGTTACGTAGCCGTATGTCATCCCTTAAGAGCAAGGTCACTCTGCACGTATGGTCGTGCAAGAGCAGCTGTGATATGCATTGTCATCGTCTCATTTCTTTATAACCTGCCCAGGTTAGAATTTTCATATTCCTAATTTTTTTTTTCCCCCCCTCTTTTATTTCATTATATATATATATAATTCTACATTTTTTCGAATTGAATTTTCCAATTGAGAGAATTCACTTCGAATAAATGTTATTGCTTCACTAGTCGGCAGTATTTTCCACTCTCTCCTGACATTAGAAAAGATCAGAATCTCATTCGTTTTTCCCACCTCACTATATATATATATGTTAGAGACTTCAATTCGTCTAATTTATTTTTTTTCAAATAAAAACGATTTTCAATTTTTCTATTAAAGAAAATCGAAAATGAAAATTTTATTATTTCAAAATTCTATATATATACTAAAAATTTATAGTATTAATAAAAAAAAAATTTCAACTTCCTTTTTTCAGAATTTACAAACGAAAACAATATTTGAAATAAAATTTATTGGTAAACTTTTGCCAAGGCGAAATTTTATATTAAAACATCAATATTCATTAAAATGCACTTTAGAATTTGGTGTCAAAATCATTTTTTTTTTTTTTCATGTAAATTTTAAATATGAGAGAAAAATTTGAAAATAAAATGATTCACCTTTACATTAAGAGTGAAGAAAATTAATGAGATATACATATTTCTTGATTCGCTCTTAATTAACTGAACTAATTTGTCTACATTAGAAATACATTTTTCCATATTAATACCTCGATGATTAATATCCTCAATTAATTAATTCACACTTAATTTAGTATTTAATCAAATTTTTTTATTGAATTAGAGTAATCTAGAAGAATAGAGAAATTCCCTAATAGAGTTTAAAAAAAAAAATAATAATTTTCGAGAAGAAATAAAGCCATCTGAGTATAATTATATCGTTTAAAGTAAACGATATATATGAAGGAGAAAAGTAATTTAAATGTACTTCTGTTCTATTTAAAGGTTTTGGGAAGTGGAATACAGAGATGAAATCCACTGGAAGGAAAAAGTTAAAGTTTATTGTGTAATGGCAGCCAGTTTACGAGAAAGTCGTTTGTATATTACACTTTACGTTCACTGGTTGTACTTCTTCGTCTACTATGCCTGTCCATTTGCGGCTCTGGTGGTCTTCAACACCGCCATTTACAAACGGGTAAGCACAGTGAAACGCCACTGAATTCATTAATCTTAATCACCCCAAGCTTACAGAATCCCGATCCAATTTTCTTTTCATTGTAAATTTCAAACTTTCTACTATATATATATATATATATATATATATACTACAAATATATATACCCTTTTTAATGCATTTCTCAATGTCTCTGCGCGAAAAACATACTATTTTTCAAAGTGTGTATATATGTGTACAACACTTCTCCCGCTAAACAATTCGTTCCAAATGTCGTTTTAATCCTCTATTTTTAATTGTATATAAAAAAAACAAAAATTCATCAATAACAAATTAATTGAAATAAAATTGTCAGAATTGTTAAATTTTTTTATACATGAGTTAATTAAATTTCGCAAAATTCAATTTTTTTTTATCCTGTGTAGAAATTTTGCCAGGGCCCAGATCGGGGCCGGATCAGGCAGCCCTATTAGGGAATGAAACGCCGCGCCTGATGTGGCCCTGATTAGGAAATCCACATTTTTTTTGCGGTCGCCTTGATTTGGCCCTGATCAGGTATGGCGTTTCATTCCCTACTAGGGCCCTGATAGGGCAATTTCTACACGCGGGGATATCGGAGTGGTTTCCAATGTATTTTTATCCTCTGAACACAATCCCAAGTCCCAAAATTGTATAAAATATCAGAATTTTGAGAAAAGTGAAAGTAAAGAGAAAAAATTGAAAAAATCCCAAAAATACATTTTTAGAGTCATTATTCACACTTTTTTCAAAATCCTAACAATTTTGGAATCCGAAATCGTGTTCAGTGGGTAAAAATACATTAAAAATCACTCCGATATAAAAAAAAAACTGCATTACAATTAATTTTAAAAGTAAATGAAAAAAAATAATAGAGACATCAAAATATTTCGCAATTAAATTCTCCCAATGCAAAATTAATGCAAAAAAAAAACAGAAAACTTCTCTGGAAAGTTAAAATTTTTAAAACTACATCATAAAAGAATTGTAATAATAATATAAAAACACTTTCGAATTTGAAAAAGAAAAGAAGTATTTTTATAATCAATTTTCTTTTAAAATAAAGATGAAAAAAAAACAGGACACATTCTTTTTTTTCTCTCTCTCTCTCGTCTCTCAAGTAATTGTTACGTTGTCTGACATAAAAATTAGTTGCATTCCTGAGAAATGAAATTTGTTGAAACTCCTTTAAAAGTAAACTTTTTTAATGAGCTTTTTTGTATTTTTTGTTTTCATTCTTTTTTTTTTTTGACTTCAACTTCCCAAAAGTGGCAAAGAAGCTTCTAATATTAACTTGAGAAATAAAGTTGGACTCCTTCTAAAAATTTAATCCTCTACTTCTAGATTAGATTTGACTTTTATTTTATTTTATTTTTTTTTTTTTTTATTTTTTCAAGAAACCCGTTAGAAGTTTCTACGTCTCCGGTTATCTCACTTGGTGTCTTTATATATGTGGAATTTGCCAAGTTTTCTTTGACGGCAAAAATTAACGAAGAAGAAAACGAACGAAGAAAAACGTTGGGAGGGGCAAAAAAAAGAAGAAGTATTAACAACATCCGAAAAAAATAAAGAAATAAAACAAAAAAAAAAAAAAGAAAAAGACAACGTTTTTAAAGTTGTCTTGACCTAAATGTTCACTGAAAGAAATCGGGAGAGAAAAAAAAATAAAAGGGGGTGAAATACTTTTTATCTATATTAGAAGTCTCGATTTCTTTCGGGAGTGTCTATAATCATTAAATTGATGAAAATCTTAAATCTTTAACTAATTGACATCTTATTTTGTTGTAATATAACCAAACCCCTATTGAAATAGATTTTCTTATTGTAAAATGAAAAAACTGGATTCTAAAAATAAAATATTACAATTTTCATTTAATACAATTTCATTAGGTATAATTTTCATTTAGCCGAATTTTATTAATTACGCAATTATTATTTTATTGTGAATTTTCAGTTATATAAAAATTCGATACACGGAAAAACAAAATTTATTTTATTCAAATAATCGGTTACTTGACTATTATCAAATAAATATTTACTTGAATTAAATAATTTTTATTTGAATTTAATGAACTTTATTTGTACCAATAATAATTTATGTATTTGAAACAAATACTATTTAACTGATTCAAATAAAAATTATCTATTTGATACAAATAAAGATATTTGAATGAAATAAATTTTTTTTTCAATGTAATATGGAAAATTGTTTAATGAAAATTCTGCATAATAAAAATTCGAACAAACAAAATTAGAATTAATGAAAATTATATCTAATAATGAAATTTTAAAAAATATAAATTTCAAAACATTAATTTTCTTAATCTGATTCGATAAAAGAAATAAACTTGTTTTATTTTCATGACCTGAAGCATTTCTGATGAAAATACCATTCTCATTTCTAAATGATTACTTTAGAAGGAAGAAAAGGGAAGTGGATACGAACTTTTATCAGCTATCTATTATCCAACGATAAGGTTCCATGCAAACTTTCCTTATTAATTTTCCCTATTACTCATCACTTCTGAAATTATTTTTTTCACCGGGAATTCGCTAATATAAAAATTAAAAAACGATAACTATATGTATATGTAAACCTTTAAATTTATCATCGCTTTTTTAAATTAAAACATTTTATTAATTATTTTTATTTTCATTTCATAAATTTATTTGTTTATTTTAATATTTATATTTCATTTATTAATTGAAATTTAATTATAACCTTTATTTAAATTTAATTTTACCTCAATAATCAATTTAATAATTATTTAATTTAATTTCAATTTATTAATATTAGAATGTATGTAAAATTATTTTTAATTAGACTTTAAATTTAATATCGCAGAAAAAAAATAAATATTTTTTTTAATTCGAATAACGATGGAAAATTGTTCTCTCTCTCTGTATTAAATTACAATAAAATTTATAAACTGCTGCATTAATATTAAAACACTTAATATCATAAAAATAGAATTATTTATATTTGTAATAAAGTGAAAATATAAAAATTACTTTAGCCATGAGATAAATTTTTTTTTTTCTCCATCTACATATAGTTTTTATTTTAGCTCTTCTATATCGCTTAGATGAATGCTTTTTCTGCTCACTGCAATTCCAATTTTGTAAGTGGAGCTTTGCCAGCTAAATCTTTCCACATAAGAAACTATGCTAACCCACTTTGAATGCAAGAACAGAATCTTTCGACTCCAGAAATTGATATTATTATTATTTATTTTCCAAACCACAAACATGCTACTTATATAATATTTTATCACTTTCAAAATTTATTGAACAAACGTTCTTCTTTATTTTGCAATTTTTCAACCAAAACTCATGTGAAGAATACGTAAAATACTATATTTAAAAAAAAAAACTGTAAATATTTATGCATTCTAAACAATAACGAAAAAAAAATCTGCCAAATCTAGAAATTTTATAAAATATTTATTCAAACAAATAATCGTTTAATATGTTTTTATTATCCACTATTCTTATATATTCGTCCTGAATACAAAAAGAGAAGCATAGTTCCTGTAGGAAGTTTATATTAAAACTTGGCCAACAGAAACTTCCACTGACAAATGTCCTTAATGCATGTGGCACATTTTCCCAACAGTATATATAAAACCTCATAATTTTTTAAAGTAATTACAGTTTATTACAATAAACACTGACAAAATTAGGGGAATTTTTTTTTTTTTGTATACAAGAAATAAAAATTCAAACGACAAAAAAAGAAACATTATATAAAGTGACTCTGTTAATTTTGCAAGAGAAGAAAATTTACATTATATATTAAGAATAATAGTGAAAGAAATATTTTATAAAATTTATTGAAAAATTAAAAAAAAATTCTAAATTAAACTTTTTAAAATGCATATTTCAACGATGTATTAAAAATAATATATCAAGCATATATTTTCCTCAAAAGTAAAATGTAGGTAGATTCTTATATATGATAGAAAATTTTCTCCTAGAATTTTTCACAATATTTTTTCCATTTCAATTTACATTTATATTTGAAGCATTAAAAAATATGAATTTATAATTTCCCATCGTTATTCTTTTTTTTTTTTTTTTTTTTTTTTTTAGAAAAAAACGTCTTCATCATATGACGAATTATTTTAAAAAGAATATTTATATTCATAACGCGATAATTAATTTTTAATTAAAAAAATGTTAACATTTGTTTTGCACAATTTTTTCTTTAATTTATTAAATCAAATTTTGCCATTTTATATTAATTTATTTTTATATATTGAAATTAAAATTTTATTTTAAATTTATTATTTAATTACTAATTAGTAATAATTATTAGTTTGTTTAATTGTTTAAAATTTGTAATATTTATTTTTTAAAATAATTTTTTTTCTATTAAGAAACTAAGTATGTGTTTTATTTACAAATCGTTTTAAACTCGAGTTGTAGAAACAATTCTCAGAGACCATTTTCCTACTATAAGGAAAAGTGCACCTGTCATTAAATTATCAAGGAAAAGTTTTAGATTTGTTTTTCTTTTCAGTTTTTTCAAGAGAGCGAGAGAGAGTAACAGAGACAAAAAATAGCGAATCGGAATAACTTACGATTTAGAAGAATGTTAAAATCAAAATCGACTTCATTACTAAACTTTAATATGAAATCTAGAGAAACTTATATAAAGGAAATAAAAAAAAAGAAAACCGCATACATAAATTTGAAATTAATGAAAAATTATTGTTGAAAAGTTTTCTTCTTTTTTCTTTTTTCTCTTTTGTTTTTTTTCTACTTCAAAATTGTATCGAAGAAACAAGTTATTTTTAATTTCGTATTTTCTCAACAAACATTCTTTCTTCAAGAACAATATTAATTAAAAGTTACAGATATCAATTTCGCGTGGGTTTTTCTCTTATTTCCGATAATTGTCAACAATTTGTTTTTCCTTTAATCGAAAGTGTTTTTACACAAATTATCGTTTAGTTTCTTGTTTTTTTTTTTTTTTGTATTACTATATCATTTCAAGCGCAAGGGTTATATACTATTTCCCTTTAAATTTTCCCCAAGTATTATATAATTCGACCCACGTGCATTGAGCATCCAGCTAATCTCGAACAAACGATAAATCATGTCTTCGCTGGAAGTCAACATATATATATCCCTTCTTCTAACGTGCGTTAAAAAAAAATTACACTGAGAAAAAAGATTTTTTTGATTCAAACAAATCAATTTCTTTGACAAATTTTTCTCTGATTCAAAGAAAATTTATTTATTTCAAACAAATTCTCTTTGATTCAAAAAAAATTATCTTCATTTCAAAGAAATTTGCTATTTAATTCAAATAAATGTTTCTTTGACCCTATATCAATGATAGAATTTCTTCGATTTAATGCACAAATTTTTTTCATTCAACAAAAATTTTTTTTGAATCAAAGAAATTTTCTTTGAAACTATATAAGAAGCTTTTTTTTGTTTTAAAGAAAATTTTTTTTTAAATCAAAAAACATGTCAAAGAAACTGGTTTCTTTAAATCAAAGAAATCTTTTCTCTGAGTATATATAATACCATTTTATTAATAATAAATACCATTTTTAATAATAAATCGATTAATTTTAAATAAATTTCGAATTCATAATTTTTAATATTTAATTTGGCGAAAAATTTTCTCTATAATTAAATTTATATTTGCTTTATTTTATTTTCTCAAACATATTTTCGATACGAAAATATTTACGAAACTAATTATAATAATTAATGTATTTTATGTATTTTCAAATTTTGCGAATTGAAATTTATTGTCATTTTTGTTGCAACGAATTTTAATTCATTTAAAAATATATAATTATTAACATGGTTACAAATTTATTTATTAAAACCATTAACCAAATAATATTTATTTGAATCAAGAAAATGTTATTTGTTTTAAATACAGAAATTATTGCGGTTCAAATACAATTTATTTAATACAAATAAAATTTATATGATTCAAATACAATTTATTTAATACAAATAAAATTTATATGGTTCAAAAACAATTTATTTAATACAAATAAAATTTATATGGTTCAAATACAATTTATTTAATACAAATAAAATTTATTTGATTCATGTAAAAATTTATTTGTCAAAACCGAATATTTGAATCAAATAAATTTTTTTTCAATACGGTTTTAATAAAGATTTTTGAATATTTGTTATCGAAAATTTTGAAACATTACGGATTTTTTTTTACAATTGAATATTTCGGAACGAAGGAATGGAGTTGTATTTATTATGAAAAATTCTAAAAAGTTCTGTATAAAATATTTTTCGAGTATTTATTGCCAAGAATTTTGAAATTTTAATTAATAAATAAATTAATAATTATTCAAACTATTGTATTAAAAATAAAATTTGATTTTCAGGTCAGAAAGGCAAACAGAGACTTGCAACATATGTCTAGACATCAACGACGAGAAATAGGCCTGGCAATGATGTTGATTTGTGTTGTCATTGTATTCATCATATGCAACATTTTGCCAATGGTCAGTAATGTCTACGAGAATCTCTACACAAATCCACCAGTTTGGATGGTGCAAATAGGAAATCTACTAGTGACAATTAATAGTAGTATTAATTTTATAATTTACGTGATATTTGGCCGTAAATTTAAAAGGATATTCCTAAAGCTATTTTGTAGTAGTAATATTTTTGGTCATGGTCGCGATAGTCCTGAATTTCAAACATACGATGAATCTATTGTAACAAATACAACAAATATTGAATTGAAAAATTCAATAAGACGAAGTCATAGAATGAGTAATACTTGTCGAAATAATAATAATCAAATGACCAATGGAAGTTTAAGACAAAGTATCAAGGGTTCAATAAGATCCGATGGACCCGGTCCATGTGTTTATTATCCTGCAAGGAGTCCTGTTCGAAGTCCAAGTCAAGTCTCACGAATATCGACACAAAATGGATGGAGCAAAAAAGAAATAACCGAGACTGTTTTACTTTAGATTCAAATTATTTTCATTATTGAAAATTAGATTTAAAAAAAAAATCATTCATCAAAATTTCTATTTCCATTTAGCCATATTTCCAATACTGAATTGTCGACATTTTTTTAAAACAAAAAAAAACTCTTAATTTTCAAAAAAAATAATTATTAAAATATTTTTTAATTATTATAATTGCCACTATTATTTATTATTATTGCTTTTAATTAAAATAATTCTGTTTTTAATTAAATACAAGTTCCATTTCAAGAATTTCTTGAGAAAGAAATTTTTCATTTGAGGAAAAAATTGTTAATAAAAGTTTTATAATAATGAAAGAATAATGTGTATTTTTTTTACATTGCTAAGATCAATTTTTTTTTTTACTTAAAAGTACTTTAAAAACTAAATTATTGGAAATTAGATAGTAGATTAAAAAAAAACTTTTCATTTAAAAGCTTTAAAATTCAAAGTGCATTTAATTTTATAATCATTTCCGAGTTCAAATATTGAAAGTTTAAAGTAAACTTCACAGTTTTCCCTCATGAAAATTTCAAAAGAAAAAAAAAAAAAAAAAAAAAAAAGGTGAATTTATTTACATATTTTCTTTAAACTCAAAGTTAAACAATTTAGTGGTAAAATTGGCAAATAACTGCATATATAACACAACAACTTTTTCTAAAAGTGAAGAAAAGTTTATATAGAATTTCAAAGAATATTTGCATATACACAAATAGCACACCTTTGAAAAATCGTCCTCTCATAATGACAAATTTCAAACTTGAAAATTCCATAATTGAAAGATTTTGATTAAAATAAAAATATTATTAAATTAAATAATTTTTAAAAATAAAATAAATCAAAATTATTTGCAAGTTTTTTTCAAAATATATATAGACAAAAAATATTCTATTCCATAAAATATTCCCGGAATATTTCCTTGAGAATATTAACATTCCAAAACTATTTTCCAGAATTATTCTCAATCTTGTTTTAATGTAATATTCTAGGAATATTCTAGGGAATATTTCTAAGGAATATTCCTAATATATAATAATTCAATTCCTTACAAATATTCCTTAAATTCCAGTGAAATTTTTATAATTCTGAAATATTCGCAAAAAAATATTTTTTTAAAAACATTCCCAATATTCCAATGAAATATTTTCGTACCTTGTATAAGTAAATAATTTTTACATCATATTACAATTGAATGTTTTTCAAAAATATTTTTAATGTTTAAATATTACTAAAAAAAAAAAATATTTTTGCCCAATTTTTCTTCCAATTGATTAATTTTCGAACTAAATTAAATAAAGTGACATTTACTTTAGGGAAAATAAATTTAGTTAAGAGTTCTTTTCTTGGACAAAAAAAAAAAAGTCGACAAGTTCAAAGCCCTAACAGAATCTTGAGTCACGTTCTTGAAATCCCACATCACTAAATCTGATTGTGGACCAACTCTGAATTATATGTATATATACGTATATATTCATTCATTGAACCAGGAAGAAATAAACACAAAAAATTTACCTCATTTGCAAGAGAGCGTGACTAGAAAATTTTATCGCATATTATAGAAGAATTCATTAATAGAATTAGTATAATTATTTCAAATATATATATATATATATATTCATTAAATAATTATTCAATAAAATATAAATAATTGTACATATATTTTTATAGGGAAGTTCAATGCAACTTAAAAATGAAATTTGATCATAAAAATTCCGTGCAGAAATTTTAATAGTAATTTTGAATAAAATTTATTTGAATTAAATAAAAAATTTTTGATTTGAATATTTAATTAAACAAATACATTTTTTTTTCGCTAAATTTTCATTAAATCCAAACGTGAAATTAGTGCGGCAAAATTTCTGCACGAGAAAAAATCACAAATTTCAATAAAATTTAAAATTATAATTAATTTTCAATAAAAATTGTCAGCGCATTTATTATTTATCAATATTTTTCTTAAATATTGATAATTAATAATTAGTACTGACTACTTGTCTAACAAGATATAAACAAAAAAGAAAAATAATTATAATGCTATAAAATACGAACCAAAAAAAAAAAATATATATATATATATATAAGATAAAAAAATCGTCATCAAAAAAATGACTGTATTAAAAAAAAAGTAATTTAATGCGCAAAAATGTATATATTATACAAATTTTGTAAACTACATCAACGATAGATAATGTTTTGAAAACAAGATTTTACAGATTTGAAAAATTATTAAAAATTCTATAATTTTTCATTAAATTAAAAAATATTTTTTTTTTTAAGTTTCTTTTTGTTTAAATTATAAGAATTCAATTTAATATTATTCGAATTGATTCAGAAATTTTTTTTTTTTTCTAAACAAAGAGAAAATTACATTTATAGAAGTAAAATCTTGCTTTCTTTAAAACCGACGATCAGTATTATAAAAAATACAAATTTCACTTATGTAAATAGAAATATAAAAATAATATATAAAAAAAAAGAAATAATTAGTCAGCGAATTAGATATGCTGGCAAACGAGTTCGCAGATTCTTCTCTTCAATAACTTGAAAAAAAAAGTAAATGGACCCTTTTCCTTTGTAAATATTCATTTAATAATATATCCTATATAGTCACATTTTCAAATGCCAAAGAAGCACTGAATCAAGTAAATATAAAAAAAAATTAATTAAATTTTTTTCTTACTCTTTCAAAAAAAAAAAAAAAACAAAATTAAAAACAAAATTTAATCCTTTCTATAATATTATAATTTTCCATATTTTTCTTGCATATAAAAATACGGAATATTTCATTTAAATTACTGAAAAATATTCTATTGAAATATTATAGAAATATTTTTGAAAATTTTATACAAATATTCCATTAAAATATTATTTATATAAAATATAAATATTCTTGTCGAATATTTCTATAACATTCTTAAAAAAATATTCCAATATTCACAAAAAAATATTCCAACAATATTTCGTTCAAAATTGCACAAAAATAATTCTAAAATATTCTAAAAAATCCTCCGACATTCCACAACAATATAATATTTATTATTAAATATTATCTTTTAATATTCCAATGGAATATTCCTACATTATTTCAAAATCGTCTTTTTTAGAGTTTGGACAATTATATTTTTTTTGTAATTATGAATAAAATATTTCTCTAAAATATTTTCAATATTCTAATGGAATATTCCGCATTTAGGCAAATATAATTTCAATTAATAAAAACTTATGGAAAAAAAACAGTCGTTTTCGTATAATAATAAACAGATACATTTTATTATAATTGCATAATTTTCAAACTTTTTAAATTATTTTTAATTTCATTATTATTATTATTATTATTATTGAATTCAGAAAAAATTCATTTGAATCAAATTTTTTTTTCGAACAAAAAATTTAATCAAGTGAATCAAATATTTATTTATAGGTTAAACAAATTTTTGTTAAAAAATAAACAAAAAATGTATTTTATAATAGAAAAAAATTATTTACTTGGTTAAAATATAATTTTTCTATGATTTCGTGATTTAAGATTAAAAATTTTGTTTACAAATATTAGATAATTATATGAAATAAATTTATTATAAATTTCTAATAAAAAAAAAGTTGTTCTTTTTAAAAAAAAATTTAAATTATACATTTATAATTATTAAAAAAATATATCTGTGCATTATAATCCAAAAAAATCCCCCTTTCATAAAAATTGATCATATTCTCTAAGACTTTAACAAATATATTAGTAATAAATAAATTATATAAAAAAAAAAATGAAATATAATATTAAAAAAAAAAATGTTGAAAATTTATTCGTGCGTTGGGAATCAAGAATTTTAAGAAGAATCGACTCTTTAAGTTTATAAACATTTTCTTCTTTTCAAGATGAAATTAAAAAAAAATAAAAATAAAAATAATTAAAACAATTTAAGTTATTTTTTCTTTAAATATGTATTTTCAATTTTTTTCAAAAATTAATTAAAAGAAAATTCGAAAATTTGAAAAAAGTCACTAACTGTAAAAATAAATTAAATTTTTAAAAAATTCTGTTTTTCTATTATAAATATTTATATTATTATATTAATAATAACAAAGAGTCGAATCTTCTTAAGGGACTGATTTTGGATTTATAAATTTCATTTTTCTCATTGAACTTGCTCAATCGTCAAACATTCAATTAAAAAATAAAAAAAAAAATAAGAAAAATAATATAGGTATGCTACAAAACGGAAATAAAAAAACATTCATTGTCCATATCATCCTAAAGATCTAAGCAAATTGAATTTTTATCTGATCACCATTTTTTTTTCGTCAGAAACGTTAAAATTTGAAATGGAAAAATATTTTTTTCATCTCTTTCAACTATACCCAAAATTTGTCCCTTTTTCTATTCTTTAATTTAAAAAAAAAAAAATCGTAAATATTTCAATTTTGAAATCCCATTCAAATGTATACAATTATTAATAATTTCTTACAAATTTTGTAATAATTAAATTCAAATAATTGAATGAATATAATTTATTTAATTTATTAATAATTAAATAAATTAGTTTCAACAAAATTTGTATACTTAATATATTATTTTTTCTAACTGATACATTGTACCATAAATATTTCTAGAATCGCAATATACTTTGTGGAAAAAATCAATGATAATAATCGTAACGATAAATGTATAAAAAAAAAAAAAATATTAAATTAATTAATGCGGGAAACGAAACGCTCTCATGACTGTATAATAAATTTTACCCAAATCTATATAATATATATATATATAGTTATTAAATTTCTTATCATACAACTCGTGTGTACTTAGAATTTAAGATTAATATCCGATAATAATCATTGTTAATAATCGATTTAAGTTTTAATATTTTTTACACATTATATTATCCTCTCTGAACAGAAACTATTTTTTTAAAAAAATAAAATATAAAAGTGTATAATCTAATAAATTCGTTTAAAATTAAAAAAAAAAAGTGATAAGCAATCTGTTTATTAATAAATATATATGTGTGTGTATATCAAATATTGTTTTCTGTTAAAAAAAAAGAAAACAATGAAATAGAACAAAAAAAACAATCGAATTACATTCTATTTTATATTAAAATCAAATAATATTAATAAAAAAATAACAGACATTGTATTTAAAGATCTTCTTTACAAGAGTGTCTCGAAATCTATCTTATATATATAAAAGTGTATAAATTTGAATGAATAATTGCAAAATGCAAAATAAATTACTTCTTTTATGAAAATGTGTTTTTTTTAAACATCCATAATAAAATTTATTTAAATAAAAAAATAATTTTCTATTTTCTATTTTGAAGAAATAATTTCTTTTCTTGGAGAAAAATATTCCTTATCTATTTTTTTTTATTCACAGAAACGTTAACGAAATAAAATTTTTTTTTTATAAAATTCAAAATTTCTCAGTAAATATCGAAGAAAAATTTCCAAATTAAAAGAAACGTTTTATTATAACAAAAAAAAACTTTCTCGAATAAAAAAAAAATCAAACAGATTATTTTTTAAAAAGAAAATAGAATTTTTAATTCAAATTCTTGAAAATAAATCAAAACTAATCCTTTACAACAATGAAATTTAATCAAATAAAAAATAAATTCTCAAAAACAACAAAAATTCCTAGACAAAAATTGCAAAAAATTTAGCAATAATAACGAAATTAACTAATCAAAATTTTTCTACCAAATAAAATAAAAAATTCAAAATCAAATTCTTGCCAACAAAATTGGGAACTACGATCTGTAATCAAAATGTCGTTAATGAACTAATTATTTATTCTTATACAGTTATAATATACAACTTAAATTGTAATCGACAAAATCGCAATTACAAAACAATTAGTCGATAGTGAGCGAGAGAATTAAAAAAAAAAAAAATTCCCAAAGAAATATAGTGTAAACTTTATAATATTTCAACTGTATATTTAACATCAAAAAATTCTGTTAACTATTCAAAGAAATATTTTCAATTTTGACGCACATAAAAGTAACAAATGAATGAAATAAAATTGATATAAATTTTAACATCGCACTCTTATCATCAGATAATTAAATTTATTTTTCAGGCCAAATGATATTACAAAAGTCGTCAATTGAGAACATTATATAAGTTAAAAATGGGTACGAACTCACAGGACTATCGCTATTATTTTCATGATATTTCATGACAGAAGAATTTTACTTTGCAACTGCTTTTTTACTTGGTTTAAAATATAAATAAAGTCCAATTAATGCCATTGTACCAAGAGTTGCTTTTGATACCTGAAATCATAGAAAAAGAAAATAGAAAATGTGATTTAGAAAAAAATATATTCTTTCGTCAAAACAATTTTTAGGTTAGATTTCTATGTTACACTTACATTAGCTCGACCATAATTAGTCTGACTATTGAAAATTCTATTTAATCCTTTAAGATTTTCACCACCAGCTTCTTCTCCATGACCCATTTTTTGTGTATTTTACAAAGAAAATTTATTTAAATAGTAATAATTTTTTTTTTTATTAAAAAAAATTTAATGCAATGTTCAAGACGACTGAGACGTCATACGATGGTCATACGTTTCTTTTCGTTCGTTGTCGTCTGCTATAATTCAATACTACCAACCTAGAAAAAAATTACAACTATCCGGTTTCCGGTATTCGGAATTATTTGAATTTTTAATTACAAAAATTAATACTTACTTGAAAATATCAAATATGAGCGAAATTATTTATTATCCGCTAATGATATTAAAAAATCTTTAATAAAGATTTTAATTTTTCATTAGAAAATTGAAAACTAATTTTTCACAACGCGATAATTCATTTTGTTTTCTTCACGCGGACGACACGATTTTTTTAAATTTATTTACAAAAAAAAAATGTTAACGAGCCAATATTTTTGTTGTTAAACATTCTGCTCAGTTAATAAAATTTCATTAAAAAAATTTTAATACTCAACTTTTTTAATACTTTCAAAGATTTTTTAGATTTATAAAAATATTGATAATTTAATTATTAATAAATTTTATTTATTTATTTAATTATTAAGTAATATTCCTAGGGCTAAATTAGTTCTAAGAATTTATTTATTATTAAATAAATAAATAATTATTAACTTTGAAAGAATTAAACAAAGTTTTTTAATTGAGATTTAAGTGTAAAAAAAAATTAAGTTAATGTAAAAAAAAAATTTAATTAATGTAAAAAAAAAATTTAATTTTTGAAAACTCAAAAATATAATAAATTGTAAGAATCATCACAGAAGAAGAAAATAACGAAAGCTTGGAAATGTTCTATCAACGAGAAACAACGAGGAATATTTATAATCGAATTAAACAGTTTTGTTAATTTAAAATTTTTTTTGTTAAATTAACAAAATTTATTTCCTAACAAAAAATTGGTAATTTTATTTACCAACGAAATGGAAGAAATAAAATCAGATTCAACAGACAAAATTGAAAAAAATTTCCTAAATTTCTATATATATAGAAGACCAACAGGAGCGAATAAATATTTTCTACAAATTAAATAAATTAGATGTGATAAAAAGTGAAAAATCCCCCAGTGATAAAGTGGATAAAAAATTATTTATTTATTAAATAAATAATTTTTGATAAAAAAAAATAAAAATACCTTCAAACCTGTAAAAAAAAAATGTAGTAACATCCTATTCTAGAAAACCTGCGAATTAATTATGCTAAATAAATAAAATTTACTTCAAAGAACAAAATTCACATTACATAAATTTAATAGTTATTAATTAATTGCATTTAATTTAATTGGATTCACAAAATATTTGATAAGAAATATTTTCAAATTAATCAAAAGAAAATATATTAAAAAAAACTTTTTCATATGAGAATAATATTTTTTAAGTAATTAAAATTTTTTTCTTGGTTAATTAAATAAAACGTTCGGATAAATTTATGTTTAAAGTCATTAATAAAATAATAATTATATAATTTTTAAAAAGTGGATAATAATTCCATTTTAATTAAATTTGAAAATTATTTTGTTTTTGCGCGATCCAAGAAAAGAATTATCCTAATCTAATAAGAATAATACAATGATTATATCCACACACTAATTAAGTAAATCGTTCAATTTTTTTTTTTATATAAATTGATAGTCAATTGATTTAATTAGTGATCACTGAGAGATTTTTCTAATTTGTTTCAACCTTGCCTCCTCCACATCAAATTATGGAGACAGGAGGGACTTACATTGAAGATTCCTTCCTTAAATTTAGAGATGCTTTTCCAAGAGCCGCATGTTTTCCTTATGATAAATCATCCTTCGTGTCCATCAGTTGGAAATAGATTATACCTGATTGGAATTCTTCCAAAGTTCCAAACTTTAAATTAAAGCACAACACTCGCAAAATTTTAATAAAACAAAATATAAATTCAAGCTTTTTGAATTTGAATATTTTTAATATATTTCGAATAGAAATTCGAAAGCTTATTTAGAAAAATTAAAAACGCGCACTCACACGAATTTTTATATATTTTAATCATGGAAATTCGTAAAAAAAATTCTATATAAAATTCAATTATAAAATTATTTATTTAATTCGTTAAAATTAAATAAATATGTAATATTGAAAATGAAATTTTTAAATATTTATATATTTTTCTTGTTATTTAATTTCCATGATTAAAATATTTTACACTATCGCACTGATTTTAATTTTTTTTAAGAATTACTACATTTATTAATATATAAAAACTTTATAGCAAAATTTAGAAAAATATATTTTAAAAGCAACACTGACTCTACACTTTATCAAAGGTGGCTTCCATTATTCTTTTCCTCAGGTGGTACTAAAAATGAACAAAAAAAAAACAGAACAAATTAAAAATTGGAAAGAATGAATTAAATGTAGTTCATAATTTTAATTAAATAAATTATCGTTAACGATGCTTTTTAATTGTTTAAATATTAAATAATAAATTTCAATTTAATTGTTTAGCATAATTTATACATATAAAATGCGATTTTTAATAATTTTGCTACTTTTATGAAATAGATTATATAAATTCACTTAAATCTTCCAAAATAATTTGCAAATAATTTTATGATTTTCTTTTCAAACCAAAGTTTATTTTTTTTTTTTTGCAAAATATCAAATTTATTGTTTAAAAACATTAATTTTTAATTAAATATTCACATTTTTAAAAATATTCCTTTTGAATTCTGATATTTTTTATTGTAATTCTGAAAATAATTGACGAAACTTTGAAATTATTTAAGAAATCAATTTTCAAAATCGACACTGAAAAATCAAATTTTTTAAACGAAAATTGTTTATTTTTAAATGTGAAGATAAAATATTAGATAAAAATCCTAACCTAATATTTTGGAATTTCTTTTATTTTTGTTATATTTTTTTATTATTACAGATTTATTATTACTTCAATTTGTTTTAAATTTTTAAAATATTCCTTTCGTTTTCTGATATTTTTTGCTGTAATTCCGAAATTAGTTGGCGAAACTTCGAAATTATTTAATAAATCAATTAATTTTCAAAATAATTACCAAAAGCCACAGTAAAGTAGATGGAAAGGACAAAATTGCGAAAAAAAAAAATATTTTTGTTTAGTTTACAATACAAAGATAAAATATTAAAATATTAGAAAAAAATCCTAACCTAATAATTTGGAATTTTTTTTACTTTTGTTATATTTTTTTAGTTACATATTTTTATAATATTCTAGATTTATTATTACTTTAACTTGTAATTATAGGTTAGAATTCTATGCTTTCTATAAAATAATAATAATAATAATAATAATATATCAATTATTGTCAAAAATTGTGTCGATTGTTTTTCAAATAACAAATTTCTATTGTATTGAGAAACTAATATTTTATATTCAACTTCGGAATAAATATCCGAAAAGGAATATTATTTTACAATGCACAATATATTTAACTAATTGACAATTTTTGAAAAAGACTAGAAAAAAAGACAATTAATAATAATTACTTACATTCTACTTTTTTTGTTACAAAAAGTAAAAAACATAACCTATAAAACTATTATTTTTTTGTAAAAACCGAAATATTTTCAAAAATGTAAAAAATTAATCTAAAACAATAATAATAATTTCAATTCTTAATAATGAATTAATTGTTAATATATAACCTCGATATTTTATACAAAGAAACTTACCGAAGTAGGAGATTTTCTCATAGCTCGCGATCCTTCCGATTCCGCAAAGTCACCGGAGATCCCTTCTCTAGATTACAATCCAAATTTGTGAAAATTTGAATTGTAACTTTACAAGAAGACCGGATTCTTTGCATCATCGGGCAACTCCCCAATATATATGCTCAGGATCATCTTCTCGTCAATCTTTTGAACTCCACCAAGTCCGCTGGTTCCCACAATGCATTGTGGGTCTCCAAATTGACTCGAGCTCAAAATTTTGACTTGCCACCACAAAGGAATCTGCAAAAAAAAAATGAACAAAACTTGTTGAACATGTGCAACAATTTTCCCCATAGGCCGCCATCTTGAAAAATGACATTGTTGCAAAAATCTATATTGCAACAATTTTAACCTACCAAGCACTATTATTGTTAAAAAAATATCTAAAACAAGCTCAATTTCACCACCAATTCGTGAAAATTGCCGAAATATGAGCAAAATTAGCAAACTGCAACAATGACGCTTACGTACACGCCAAAATGCAATCAACATATATCGATCGCCATCTTGCCACTTGAGCATAATTTTATTCATTCTTTTATAAAATATTTATTCATCTCGATGAGGAGAATAGATAAAACACAATAGTTATGGGTAAATAGGCAATACTCACCATTTTTGAAGAAAAAATGCAGCGGAGACATGTTGAGAGCAATGGACGCCATGGCCTTGTGTCGACAGGAATGAACGTGTATTGCAATAGCAGTCCTTCTTGGCTGTGATTGGCTATTCACAATTTCCGGTGTGAGAAAGCATATTCCTTATTGGTGGACAAATTTTACTCGCTTACCAGAGCGCGAAATTAGAGAACGCTGATTGGTGACACATTTACGAATAAAAATCCATTTTATTTTTGGCGGTAAATTTAAATTTAAAAAAATTACAATTCTATTTTATTTCTCTCGAATTAATTATAATAAAAAAAAAAAAATGTTATAATCTGTAAGAAAAAACAACTTTTTAAATAATAAATTATAAATTGATTATAATTATTGTTATTATTATTGTTTATTCAAATTTTTAATAAATATAGCAAATTTAAATAAAAAATAGTAATGTAAATTATTTAATTAATGTTAATAGATTAATTATTTAATTAAATTAGTTTTAATTATTAATTTCGATTGATAAAATACAATAAAAATTATGTTTCATAATTTACACTTTATTAATTCTTACTATAAACAATCATTCTTTAGGCACTGATGATTTTTTAATAGGACCTTCAGATATTTCTTGTTCATTAGAATTTTCCACTTTTTTCGGGATTAATATTTTTGAAAGTGAAATTGATAATAATTTGATATTCTCAGAGAAATTTGGAATTTTACCTAAAATATCTTCATTAAAATTAATAGAACTTGGAATTTCTGCAATTTTTTCCTAAAAAAAATTTTTTATTTTTATAAAAATAATTTACACACAAATTTTAAAAAAAATGTATGTATTTTAAATAAACCTTAGCAGATTCCAAAAATAAATGAAGGGATTCTTTTAGTGTGTCACTTCGTGTTTCTATTGTTTTTTCGAAATCTTTCACATAAGTCGTTTTTTTTCCCTTCTCCAATGATTTAATTATTTCCTCAGATAAAATTTTTATTTCCATAATTTTTTCTTCAAAAAATTTTGCAATTAAATGTAAATCTTCGGTTTGAAAAAATTTTGTCTGTAAACGTTTTTTTATTTCCAAAAAATTTGTTATTTGTTCATGAGAAATTTTTTGCAATCTATCAAAATAATCCATGAGAATTTTTTTCGATTTCTCTGTTTCATCTTTATCCATAATTTGAAATTGTTGAAATAAATAAATTAAAAATACAATAAAGAATGTTTTATTGTCAATAATTGGTAACAGTTTTACAAATTACAAATTTATAATACGTAACGATTAATTTTTTTTTTTTTTTTTACAAATATATGAAGAATGATTTTGTTTTTAGTGAAGCGCTTTTTTGTTTTTTGTTAAAATTTCTACTGAAAAATAAAAAAAAAAATTATATATATTCTTCTCGCATGTTCATTAACTTTAATATATAATATGCATTTTTTTTTTACATAAAGAACATATTGAATAAGTTATTATATCTTATTTACATTTTTTCGAATTTGTTCGTAACTTAAAAAAAAAGGAAAAAAATATATATACCTATATAATATTAAAGTACTTTTTTCACATATATCTCATCATCATTGTTTGAAAAAATACTGAACAGGTGTAACTTTTATATAAAATAAAAAAATATATATACGTCATTATTTATGAAAAAAGATAAACACTTTTTTTTCCTAATTTAACTATCGTACATTTCGAGCCTTGTTTTTTGTAGTCATGTAGGTCTTGTAAGATGAAATTAATTTCTGTAATGAAAAAAAAGGCAAAAATTAATTACATCAATTTCCATTTAAACGAGATTAATATTTAATAAAATATTTATTAGAAAAAGAAAAAAATATATTTATAGTGGAATTTTTTTTTAAATTTGAACAGAAAATTAAAAAAAAAAAAGGAGAAAACTTTAAAATGTTAATTTAAATAAGTTTATATAAAATATTCAACTTACTATAATATCGTTAATTACAGTGTTTGTTGATAACTTATTTTCATGAATAATTAAATGCAATTCAAAGCGATTGATGATATTGAGACTTGACAATATTTTAGGAGCCAATTTTAAAGGCGTCAAGTGAACAGGTCGAACAATTTTATTTTCTACATTTCGAATCACATTTAATGGTGTACTGAAAAAGAAAATAAACAGTGAAATTCAAAAACAAAAATAAATTACAAATGTTAATAAAAAAATAAAATAATATTAAACTTTTAATTCAAAAATAAAATTTTTAAAGAAATCCAATTTTTAATTTAATAAATTAAAATAAAGATTTTAATTAGTAAACGAATATTTATATTTCAATTAATTTAATTGAATAAATATTTGTAATTAAATAATGAATAATAATTAAATTTAAATAAAATAAGACTTACATGTCAAGATCAGCTAGAAGCAAAGGATGAGAATATCTGTCAACTGTTTTAAAAGGAATTTGTACATTAACCATATTTAAGGCTCTCAACATAATACTCGGTCCATTTAAATTCGTGAATGCCTCGACAAATTCATCCGAAATTAACCAGCCTTCATCATCAACGTTCAAAACAATAAGTCTCATCTTTTTGGTTGTTATCGCTGAAAGAAAATCATTTACAAAAAAAAATTTAATAATACAATAAATTTGTTCCAATTAAAAAAGTTTTTAAACTTGCGAAAAATTATTAAAAAAAAAAAAATGTTACTTACGATAAGTGTAGCAAACTGAAGATTTTTCTAACGGCTTAAAATTAGTATCAACATTCAAATCTGATGGAATTGTAAGTGGATTGATCATTTCGGCATTAGCTGGCAATTTATCGTTTATGATTGATTTTGACGAGAAATTTACATAATTTTGATCACCAACAAAAGGATTGGTGTTATGTGAAATAATTTTTTGTAAATTATCACTTAAATTTCCATTTGGAATGTTATTTCCTTTATCACGACTCGTATCATTAGACAATTTATTATTGCTATTTCTTATTGGCATTTCATTAAATTTATTTTCCTTAACAAAAACTGGCGTTGGTGCACGTGAACTTTCTGTGGACGAAGGAAGTGGAAAAGTCGCTGCTGACAAAAGATCAATTTCTGTCGATGATTTTTGATAATTCTGATTTACTGCCACATTAATTGGTAATGTTGAAGAATTTTTTTTCTCGATCAGTGGATTTGGAATATTATTTCCAATATTTGAAATATTTTGCCTTGCCTTTTCAAATGAAATTTTCATTTTATTTTGACAGTTTGCCCTCTCGGATGGATTTTTTGGTTTATTTATCTTAAAACTAAAACCAGTTTTCATCACAGATTCACTAGTCCCGCTAGTTTCAATCGATGGAATTGTCTTCCAATTATTCTTTTCTAAATTATCAGTCTTTTCATCAGTTCCATTTTGATTATACATAATTGGACCTGATTCATAAAATATTTTTGCACCACTATTTACTTGATTTGTACATAAATCAATAACAGGTGAAAAATTATTAATTGGAATTGATTCCGTTTTATTGGGAAAATTGGAATTTTTATTCTCATCTTTTTTATCACTAAATAGAAAAATATCAGAATTTGATTGACAACTATCAATCGATTTATTTAAATACTCGTTCTTTGTTTCATTTATATTTGTCATTGAATCGTAGGGATTATCGAGAAAATCTTTTAAATTTATTCGAGATGATTTAATTTGTTTTGGTGAATTTGTTGAATTAAAATCATTGAGAAATGGATTGGTAGAAATTTTCTTATTAAATTCCGCTGTTTTAAATGGATTTGTTTCTATTTTTTCTGGTGTTTGTGAATTTAATAAAATTGAATTCTTTTTTAAACTTTCACGTTGATTTATTTCTTTATTTAAATTTTTCAAAAATTCCAAATTTTCCGGTTGTAAATTTTGATATTCTGGTTTTAAATAATCAGAAAGTTCTTTAATTAATTTCTCTTTATAATTTAAAATTTCACGATTCTCCAAATCATTGTGATTATTTGTTGTTGAATTTTGTCTCGAATTTTTTGGCTCTTTCAATAATTTTTGAATATTTTCCTGATTTTCGATATTTTCGTTGAATTTTGGAACTTGACGGAATAATTCTTCAACACTAATGGGAAATTTACTGACAACTTGTTGTTGAGTTGAATTTAGACAATCATTTTTATCGAGAATTTTCGATACGATTATTGATGAATCATGTGAATTTGAAAGATTATTAACAATTCGTTGTGCAAGAGCTGTGGATGCTTCCGGATTCATTTGACTTTGAATTTTAATGTACATATTCATAAATTGTTGTTCCAATTGACTTAAATCATTACCAACACTATTGTTGTTATTATTAACAGGATCATTTGATTTTGTCGATTCTTCTGTAATTGAATGAAGTGATTGAAAACCAGGTGGTGGACGTGTTGAATTTACTTCTTTCGATTCTTGAGATTTAATGAATGATAATAATTCTTCATCGGGAAAATCATATTTTTTTGGCAATTTACTCTCCTCGTAGTCGCTCAAATTTTTGAAGTCGATATTCTAAAAAAAAAAAAAAGGTAAAATATTTTAAAGAAGTAAATATTTTTTTCTAAATAAAAGAAAAATATAATGATATTTACAAAAAAAAAAAAGAGAAAAAAATGAGGATTTGTGATGATAATGATGATGAATGAATAAAACAAAAACAGCTTACTTGGGAGATTAGAAGGATTAATTCCGTCTTCTCGGGGTAAATGTCATTCAAAAGAAAGGCATAAAGTTGCGATTCATAGGAGGTGGAGTTTCGGATCTTTAAGTTAGTTAAAGGAATTGTTTACTATTTAAATTACAAATAATAACGGTTAATTACTCGATAATTAAAACTATAAAAATATTCCCAAAATACGAACCATTTGTCCATGAACAGCAAATTTTGCATCAATGAGCCAATCGTTCAAGTGAAAATCGTCATCTTTTTGCGTGTCCGTCAGTGTGATAAGTGCTGAATTCTCCTACAAAAAGAAATGTTGAAAACAAACGTTAAATTTATTTAAAATTTAATAAAAATTAAACTGTAAGAATTAAATTAATATTAATTTTATATATTGAAAAATTTAATATATCAAAATTAAAAAATTACCTCTTCATTCCTTACAACAATTTGTGCAATTAAAGGACAACTGGTGTTTTCTATAAATTTCCAAGTGATGCCCATGTGCCATTTATCGGAATTAAAGGGCCTCACATTATATAGACCACACGGTATGGCTTGAGCTGGCAAATTTGAAAATCGACGATGAAGATAGTATAAACTTTTTGGCTTATATGACTTGATTGTTCCGTAATCGTAAAAATGCACCTGAATTAAAATAAATGAAACATTAACAATTATTCTTTAAAAAAAAAAACATATTTCGAAGATAAGAACAAAAAATGCATTTTTTTTTAACATACCAATGAACTTCCATCAGGTAAAACCGCTTTAATTATCCCTCGATGCCATTTTTTTGCATAAACACACGCGACATTCAATCCTTTATCCAAGATAATGACAGGAATTAGATACTTGTAATATTCATCTTGATAAAATTCACTGAAAACAAAAAGCAAAATTAAAATTACATGAATTAAGTTTCTAATTATCGTTTTTAAAATATGAAATTAAAATTATTTCATTTATTATATGACGAATTTAAAAAAAAAATTCACTCACTGTAATTGGGACATAAATTTTTTAAATTTTGGTTGTCTCTTACGAAGTTGAATCCAAAAGAAAGAGGGATTAAATACTTCGCTCAATATTACTTCTTCGTAATCTTTTTCTACACATAATTCAGAAACAAATATCTGTCCAACTCTTTCATTAAGTAACATGACTCCATCTGGAAATAGTCTATCAGTTACGCTTGGATCCTGAAAAAAAGAAAATTGCCTCTTATAATTTATAAAATTAAAAAAAAAATTTAAATTCTAAATATAATTTATTATTACCAATCGGCTTGGTATTGCTTCTGGATCATCGCCAACATAAATACGATATTGTTCAGCTGAAGAATATTGAGATCGATTATTTATTTCTTGATTATTGATATCGGGCAATGGTTTCTGTACATTATATAATTTATAATCGCCCTTTGGTTTTGGTCGTACACAATGAAAAATATCAGTTAGTTGTGATGCAAATGCAACAACACTTGTAAATCCTAATTCCTCATATTCTAAATTAAGACCACTTTCTTGATGATAAATCTTTGGTAAATCCGCACACCATATTCCATTAGGATGATTTCGTATAATAATACGAAGTCGATCTTTTACACGTGGATTAATTTCAATATTACTTTCATTAAATTCAATATAATTCTCATCTTGAATATCATAACCATTCGAATTAATTCCATTACACGAGGCTTCATTATTATAAATATCATCCGAGTAATATTTTTCATGATTCATTGATTCTTTATGACAATTTTCTTCAATATTTTGTTTTGATGAATTTAATTTATTTGGAGAATATTTTTGTTCATGACAATTTTCTTGAATATTTTGATTTGAAGAATTTAATTTAGAATATTTTTGTTCATGACAATTTTCTTGAATATTTTGATATGAAGAATTTAACTTATTTGGAGAATATTTTTCTTTATGATTCATGGAACATTGAACATCATTTTCAAAGGCATCTGATGATAATCCAGTGTTTTTTTTTTCCTTATTAAATTTTTCACATGATTGTTCAACAAATCTAATAAGAGGTTTGCCGCTGGTTTTTTGCTCAAATTCGGGTGATGGAGATGAAATAGAAATATAACTGAAATCATCATTATCATCATAATCATCGTAATCGCTAAGATAGTTTTTTTCTGTACAATCTTCACCAGTAAAATATTGTACTACAGAAGGTTCTTTTAATTCAGTTTGACAATTATTTTCCGACATAACTGGTACTTGTTTGTCAACATTTAACGAAGCGGAAGAATTTTCTAATCTCGAAGCCGATGAATTATTTACTCTCGAAGGAGATGAATATGAATAATCAAATCTCGAAGCTGTAGACGATGTATTATTAATTCTCGAAGGAGAAGAATATGAATTATTAAATCTCGAAGAATGTGAAGATTGAAATGATCCTGAATTCCATCGTGTTGAATGTAAGCCACAAAATCCCTGAAAAGAGATTTTAGAAACAAAATTAGGAAAAAATAAACAAATCAAGAAAACTAAGAAAAATAAAAATTTTCAATCACTGATAGAAATTGAGAAAAATTTTAAAAAAAAACCTATAAACTAATGCAAACCTGTACATAGCCACCACGAAAAGTTCTTTTTGACTTTCTAATAGGCTTTCGTTTTTTTTTTTGTCCTGCAACAAGAGCACTCAAATGCCGTGTTCGTTCAGTGTCAACTGCTTTCATATATTTCTGATTAAATTTAGTGATGAATTTTACAACATTCGTTAATGATTCCAAAAAATCAATTAAACTATTATAATTAAATTCACGATATGGAATATCTTCACCTTCATATTCAAGATAATCACTACGTAATTGTTGTATAGTCACATCTTCTTTATGTGCTATTAAAATAGCTCTTATTATAGATTCGACTTGTTCACGTCTTTCTTGCGATGGTTGTGGCATTATTTACATTTATTACATTTGATTTACCAAAAAAAAAAAAAATCTGTTTACACACGTGTATTGTTTTTTTTTTCATGAACACCGCACAAATTCTAACCTCAAAAATAAGTTCGATTTTCAATTATTATGAAAGATTTATTAAGTTACACTATTTTCATTTATTTGCAAGCAAAACTAAAGTACTGTTTATTAAACTATATTGTTTTTAATTATAAAACACATTTCACACTAAATAAAATTACCATTAACTTGATGATGAAATAAATCTTTGCAGCGTTTTGTCACTGTTCAACATGAAATGTGCAAATACAGTGAAATTAGAAGCGGAACGAAAATTGAAGAATCACGTGATTTCAATTTAGATAAACGCGCAATGTAAATTAGTGGGAAATGAATACAAATAAAACCATGGATGTTAGTTCAATTGTTTTTAAAACAAGTTTCATTTGAAAAATTGTTAATTCATAATATAGTGTTGTTTTAAAAAATGAAATATTAAATAAATAAATACATATAGTTTCAAATTACCGGAACTTGCTCTGTTTTATTTCAACCAATGAGAATTTATATTTATGAGCATGCGTATTTCGCGGTAATTTAAAAATTTCATATATATTTATAAAATTTAAATAATAAATAATTGAATTTAATTATTATTAATCTTAGGTTTAATTTCTATTTAATTATTATTTTTATTTATAAATAAATTTTTTTAAATAAATTAATAATTATGATAATAAAATATTATTTAATTTTACTATTTAAATATTTAGTAAAATATGTATTAAATAAATAAACAATAATTCTTGTCATTTAAGATCTCAAAAGGATTAAAATCCTAAACTAATTCTTTTAAGAATTTTATTTTTAAATAATAACTAAATGATTTTCCCCATGAAATGATCTTTTAATGACTTTATTGGTACTAGTACCTGAAGTTTGACCCACTTAGTTAATTATATGAGTAAATAATTAGGTAATAATATAATGGACCCATTAGAAAATGGGAGGTTTATTTTCTTTAAATATAATGTAAAAATAATTGCAATTTAAATTAGTTTCTAATTTTCTACATAAAAAAAAAATTTTTTTTTTTTATTTATAGATATAATTAATAAGTTTTGAAAATAAAAATTTCACAAAAAATAAAATGTTAAATAATTGCAAATAAATCTAATTTATTCAAATAATTTACCTGTTTACTGTTGCTTAATAAATCGTCCTCATGAATCTCCTCTTTAATTCCAGTGACTTTTATTTTTTTGTTTCTTATTTCATTTCTTCTTAGAATGTTTTGTAAGAAATTGATATTTTCTTTTATTGTTTTTCTCCTTGGCAAACATGTCTCAGACATTTTGTCAAATTAAAGCTTTTGTTGGAAAACAACATTTATTGTTAAATACAAATAATATAAAATTGTATATATATATATATATATAAATTTATTAATTTCAATTACTTACATTATATATAATTAAATACTTCAAATATTATTTCGTCGGATATTTAATGTAGAAACTAAATAATTTTATACAACAGCCGAATAGCGTGGAATAAACTCTTATCAGTAGATTAGAGGAAACTTTTCGTTTTGTTTTTGTTTTGAATATTTTGATTCCGACATTGCAACCTGTTGCCCACTAGCGACAAATTTTCATACCACATTAAAAAAAATTTTTTTTTTTTTGTTTAATTTTTGCCGCTCTTTTTTTGTTTTATTTTATAATTCTAGTTATTTTATTATTTTATATATATTTTACTTTTTCAAAAACAGCAAGACTCTAAAAAAAAAGGCGTGGAAAAAATAATTTCAAATACACTTTTATTTATTATTTATTTATTTACAAATTTGAAAAAAATTCTAGCAATGTAAAAAAGTTACATTAAATATTTAATTTATAAAGTTAATAACAATTTGTCATATGTAAAAAAATATATATATGTATATCCTATTAATAATTATAATTATTAATTTGATTTGATAATTTTTATTAACTTTATAATGGAGTAGAAAAAAAAATATATATCTATATTAATTTACAAAATATAGTAATTTGTCTTTTTTACAATGCAACGCATTTACATAATAAACAATATCTAATATAATAATAAAAACAAATAATTGTCACTTAATTAAGATTATGAATTAATAATAATAATAATAATAAAAATCAATTGAATGTAACTGATTTGAAAAAATTAAGACGGAAAAAACAGTCTTCAAAATTGTAATCCCACTTTTTAAGGCACATATCTTTTTATGAGACATAAAACAATTTTTCTTATTTCAATTAAAACAAAAAATATTAAATCTTGTATTTATTAAAAAAATTTTTTTTTTTTTTTTAAATTAACTTTTCACTCAAGGAGAAAATTAATTGAAATAAGAGAAACATAATTTTAAGCACTCAATTTTGAAAATAAAAGAGAAAGAGAAATAAAATAATTTAAAAAAAAAAAACAAAGTGCCATGCTTTCAAGATTTTTTGAAAAATAAATTTCATTTCTTATTTTTCATTTTTGATAACATACGCATTAAAGATCCTGATCTTCCTGGCGCTTGAAAAGTAGGTTTAATTTCTTCAATATTATTTTCAGTAGTCGATAATGAATTTTTTGAATTACTTTCAGATTCATTAATGGATTCGATAGTAATTTTATTCGAATTTATTTCTTGTTTCTTTCTGCTCATAAATTCATTGTATTGAAAATTAATAATATCTTGATCATTGAGCGATTCATTGAGATCAATAATTGGTCTCGGCGATGGAACACGCGATGATACCTGTGATGAAATAGATTTTCTTCTTTTCATATTAAATGACGCCATTTCACCGGAGAAACTCATTCCATCCCACGTTCCACTGTCACTAAGCACATCCATATCATTAAAATACAATGGATTTTCATCAACAATTGTATTTTTTTTCTCCAATGATTCTTGTGTTGATTCATCCTCGATGGATAGATTTTTTTCACCTTCATCTTCTTCTTCTTCTTCTTCTTCTTCTTCTTTAATTGAATATTTTTCATGAATTGTCAATTCATTTTTTATGGATTTTTTCTCAGATTCTGAATCAGATAATTCGTCTGAAAAATCATCGGAATCTAATGATTCGGAACTATTTAAAACTTGTATTTTACTATTTTTTGTGACGTTGTCTTTGATGGAAATTTCCGTTTTAAGAATATTATTTTCTTCTTTTTCTTCATCAAGCTTTAAATCAAATAATAATTTTGTTACACATTTTTCTCCATTTGTTTCGAGTGTTTCTCTTTTATTTTCCACAAGTTGAATATTTTCCTTATTTTCTTCAATTATTTTAATTTCTTTCATTTTCTCCTCGAATTTCTCAATAGTTCCTGTTACTTTTTTCGTTATGTTTGGTGTTATTAAATTTGCCGTACTTTTAAAAATATTTCCATGTATACGTTGAACTAATTTCATTGATGGCGATATTGGTGTAATGTTTGATTTAACATGAGCCGAAGTTGTAAAATTAAATCTCTTCTCGTATAAAATTGAATTAATATTAATATTATTTATAAAACGGGATAAGTCAGTTTGAATGAGTGAAGTTTTGACTTTAGGTTTTATCGAATTTTTTGGTTCTTCTTCTTCTTTTTCTTCTTGTTTCTCTTCCTCTTTTTTCTCTTCTTTTTCTTTATTTTCATTCACCAATTTAGATTTAATTTGAGATACGGTATTTTTAATGTCACATTGTTTAATATTTCTTCTAATATCATTCCAATCGATTGGTAACATTTGACCGCGTCCTCCTAATTGGCTTCTTAAAGTACCAAAATCGGGTATTTCTTCATCTAGTGATTTTTCTTTTAAATGAAGTGGCGTACGAGGCGGTGAAACACTATCAGAAGTTGAAGAGCTTAAACTTGGATGTTCAGAAATTTCTTTTATTTTAGTTTCACGATTTATATTATCGACTCTCTTCTCTTCATTTAAATTTTTCTGAACAGAAGACTTTTGTTCACATGAATTCGTCGTATTTAATTCCACTGAAGGTGGAGATCTTTTCATATATCTTAAAAGCATTTCTCGTCTTGATGTTATTTTACTCGATGTAGATGAATTTGTATTTGATGCAATTAATGATTCCGTTGTATTGACATAATCAGAAGAATTGGAACTATTTACAGACGATGATAAAGGACTCAAAATATTTTCCGCATTCTTTTTCTCCTCATTTTTTGAAATTAAGGCCAATGTTCGTCTTAAAACTTTAGGACAGGACATTTGTTCGTCTTTAACATTTTCCTGATGATGATGATGATGATTATGTTGACTGGTGGATGATTGCAAAGTATTTGAATTTTTTGATTTTTCAGCTAATTTATTTTTGATTGATTGTGGAATTTTTAAATCTAAAAGAGAAGGAATTTTCTTAATGTTTCTTCTTTGTTCTTCCTGAGAATTATGTTTAACTGTATTTTCCATTTTTCTTGAAGAATTAACAGATATATCCGAACAACTAAATTTAAAACTTCCATTTAATAAAGGCTCATTCGTATTGTTTGTGATGTTTGTTGTATTGTATCCTTTATGCTCGAGAGATTTTTTGTAATGACAAAAACTAAAATTTCGATTATCCTTTGTTTTAAATCTTCCAACACTTGCATAACCTTCGGCTATCAACCAGTCATTAATATACAAATCCTCTTCAGAATTCGTGTTCACTAATGTTATTACGGACGAATTTTCCTGCAATAAAAAAATTATTTAATATAATTGAATGTTATTAATAAATTAAATGTAAAAAAAGTGTTTTTAAATTAATAATTAAAATATTACCTCTTCATTTATTGAGCTAATCATCGCACACAATCGTTTCTTTTGTGTTTTTTGGGTAAATTCGAAAATAATGCTTGGCTCCCATTTTTTTTTATCAATCGGTTTTACATTATGTAATCCGCATAAAATCGCCTGCGCTGGTAAATTTGAAAATTGTTTATGAAGAAAGAACATGTCGTTGACGCCATAAGTCTTTACCGTTCCATAGTCATAAAATTCAACCTGAAATTAATAAAATACAATATTAAATTCTGACATAAGCGATTTTTTTTTAAAACAATATACACAACAAATCTTTAGCAACTTGGAAGAATTATAAAAAATAAAATTAAATGATCAAAAATTTTTTAAACTTACTTTGACTCTTCCATCAGATGTTACAGTTTTAATAATAGCTCGATGCCATTGATTCTCAAAAATACAAGCGACATTTAAACCATCTTTCAATAAAACAGGTGCAATTTGGAACTTTGTTTTATTTTCTTCATAAAATTCACTGAAAAAGAAAACAATTAAATTAAAATTTAAAACAAAAAAATTTAAATAAATATTATTCTATACAAAATGTAATCTAAAAAAATAATTTAAAATACTCACTGTAATTTATGCATTAAATTCTTAAATGATTTTAAATTTTTTATCAAATGAAAATAAAAATGCGATGGTGTAAAGACTTCACAAATCACAATCTCCTCATAATGATTTGATTTACATAAATTTTTAACCAAAATTTGCCCAACAGACTCAGTGACACTCATCACATTATCGGGAATAAAATTTTTAATAGCTCTCAGTTCCTAAAATCAAAAAAAAATGTTCAAATTTTTCAAAAAAAAATATATAAATTGTAAAAAAATTAATTTCCAATATTCTTTTCACTTACCAATTTACTTGGAATTGCTTTTAATTCGATATTATTATTAATAGAATCCTGATTATTTGAATTTGTAATTTCAATCTGTCGTCTTATTCCTTCAATAGCCGGTCGTGGATTTTTTGCATTATATAATTTATAATCTCCACATTTATATATTTGAACACAATGAAATACATTCGGAAGACTTGAGGCAAATTCACGAACACTCTCAAATCCTATATCCGTATAATTGAGAGATGCACCAAAAGTATCTACATATATTGTTGGTAAATCTCGACACCAAATTCCATTAGGATGTTTTTCTATCAATTGACGTAAACGTTCTACGATTCTTGAATTAATTAAAATACTTGACATTTCTCTATTGTTATCATCAATTTCAAAACTGTTGTCATTAACATAATTCTTATCACAGGAAGTAGTTGAAACTTGATGCGATTCTTGATACAATGTCTCAGATTCAAAAGTTTTATTATTATAATTCTGTCGTTTTTCATGTTGATCAACGTAATTTCTACGTTTAAACTTGTCTATAGATTCAGGATCATCATAATTATAATCATCATCATTAGAACGATGATTATAATTGCTATTTGAAGAACTTGATGTTCTCATTGTTCTCGTAGAATACTGAAATTAATAATTCTTATAATTAAAATCGTTATTCAAACATTGATAAAAAAAAATATTATTACACAGTTATTTTAACACTTACAAAGTAAATTTAAACAAAATAAAATAAATTAAAATACACGTGACACGTGAGAAACACGCTGCGGCTTGTTATGGTCATTAAAAAAATAAACTACAAAGAAAGGTATATACTCGCAAATCAGTATGCAAACTTATAGATGGCATTGCAGTCATTTACATAAAAATTACTTTTTTTTAATACAAATTAAATAATTCCATTTATTTCTAAACAGGTCAATAAAAATAAGTTTTTTTTTTAATTATTTAAGTAAACACCACATTATAGAACAAAAATGTAAAATTTACATTTTATTGCAATAATTATTACTTAAAGATGTAAAAATAATTAATATATAATTGCAAGCATTATAAAAAGTAAAACTTACATTTTTGTAATTATGTCCATTCGATTGACGTTTTTTCGACTTTTTAGCGGGTTTTTGACCAGCAACCAAAGCACTGATATGACGCGAACTTTCAGATTCTATTACACGCAACAAAACTTCTCCATCTCTTTCGATAAATCTCAAATCATTTTTTAATGACCGCAAAAAATCAGATAATGTTTTAAAATTAAATTCTCTAAATGGAATATTTTCCTCTTCGAAATTTCGATAATCTTTTTTTAATTCCTGAATGCTTACAGGTCCTTTATGAGTAATTAAACACGATCTTATTGTTTTTATCACATCTTCAAGTCGGCTATTCGATGAGCACGCCATTTTTCATTAATAATTAAAAAAAAAACAAACAAAAACGAGTACGAAGAATAATTACACTTGTTAGAATTTAAAAACAAAGTTTAATTCTAACCTTAAAATCAACTTTGCTCACAATTAAATGAAAACTATTGGGTTCACTTAATCGATAGTAAACAAACAGTAAAAATAAATCATATTTTGTCAAAGGTTAAAATTTTTTACAAGGAAAAATATGTAAATCGCGAACAATATGAGTTAAATAGCACGTGTTACTTGTAACAACTTGTCACCAAGAGTACACAATAAATAATGAAGAAAAGAGGTGGGTAGTTCGCCATTTTTAAATTAACCCCCACTTTTTTTTTCTCTTTTTCCTTCGCAACCAATCACGACCATGGACACTGCACTTGCGCAATTTTGAATTTCCGGATTTTTAAAAATGTATTTCTTTTTATTATTCAATTTGTTGAAATTAAAATAACAAGAGTTATGTTAAATATAGCAATTGTGAGTTTTTTTAAACGTGCCACGAATTATAATCTTAGTATATTTATTTTATTTTATTTACTTTAATTACAACTAAATTTAAATTTTCTGGAGGATATCGTGATTGGTTGGATTCAATGATATAATAATTGTGATTGGATAGATTTCAATCTTACCTTAATTATATATTGTCTATGGGCAAGTAATATCTGTCACTTTAAACTTTTCGGTTTATAATGTTTTGTTAAAAAAAAAAGGCAAAATAATGAAAATAATTGAACAAAATTGACATAATGTTTAAATGTTGATCATAGATTTTCTATTTTTCTTATCATGTAAGTAATTTACTGCAAAACTATATGTAAAATATGTAATTTTTTTCTCATTCTTTAAAGTTAACCTCAAAATGTACGTCAACAATAAGTTACTGCCGGTATTTTGTTATAATTATATAAAAAATATAAAATATTCGGAATTTGTTTTAAAAATAAGAATTAATTACTAATCTTAATTTTATACATTTTAATAACATGTATAATTTTTAATATTTTTCGAAACAATTATTTTATACTATACTAAAATAATTTTTTTTATTTTTATTCGTTTAACTTGATATCTTAGAGGAAAATTTTATTGAAATAGTATATTTATAGTAAATATTGGAATAGTATTTTTATAAACAATTTCTAAAAAAATGTTCTTTTCATTTCTATATAAATAATTTTTTTTGTATTCAAATGCAGGAAAATTATTATTGTAGAATATTATTAATTTGCACTTACATTTTTATAATTAAAAGGACAGTAAATTATTTTTTTTAATGCGTTTCTATAATTTTACTAATTTTTTAAATAAGTTTTTTGTTAAATAAAACAAAATTATAAGAAATTTACTCACGTGGTTATAACGATACATATAATATATAAACGTAACACCATGAAATTTTGATATCAACTGATTGTGAGAAGTCCCAGACGCGTTTCTTATTTACAAACGCATGAGGTCATATAATTTTTTTTTCCATCGTAAGCATTTAACTCTATCTACAAATACAAAAATTTATTTTAATTCTGATTTTCATTGATGAGAAAATAATTATCATATATTTATATATTTATTTTTTTAATTATTTACTTTTATATAATAATAATTTTTATAAAATATGAATATAATTATTAAATTTTATTAGGTGGTAAAAATAATAAATTTATCTTGATAATAGTTATGCAATTTCCCTAAGAAAAACTTTAAACTAAAATTAATAATATTTTAATGAGATAAACTGTCGAGACAACCAGTAAAGTTTCTTTGTTATTCTTAATGAGATAAATGTATTTAAAGATCATTTTAACAATTTGAGGAAAATCCTCTTATTATGATTATGAAGACATTTTATGACTTAGTTTTTTTTTTTTTGTATATTACAAAGTTTATTTAATTTTATATATATTTTTCCAACAAATTGAAATATTAGAGAGAAATAAAATTGCCTTTAAAGCTTAGGGGGATGTAATGTTAAACCGCGCAAACTCGAAAATAGTATGCAAGTGTTCATATAATAACATCGTGCATTCTTTAAAATGTTCAATACATTTTATTATATATTCAAAGAGATTTATTTTTTATTCTAATTAAACGTGAGTTTAATAATTTAAAAAAAAAAAACCCCCGAATTGTACGGTTAAATGTCGGTTAAACGTAAAAAAAATTTTATTTAACTTATTATACTGATAAGCTCAACTTAAAGATCGCAAAGTGCCATATATACATTGCATATCAGTTGTGTGTGGTAAGCTCTCTTTGTGCCTATATATATATATATATATATGTTGCACGATGCAGAACCCCTCGTAAAATTTATTATAATAGAGAGCAGCTGTCATTTTGAATACAAACATTATTGCGGCGTGACGTTCGTCTCTCTCATCGTATAAAATTTTTTTAGTGATTTTTTTTTTCAATAAAATAATAAAAGAAAAAATCCCAATTTTTTTTTATAAATTAAAAAATAAATCATCATTTTGCAAAAAAAAGAAGAATAAATGGCTCCATCGTGCTTTGAAGTGATTATTGTTGTTTTTATTCTTGTGTTACCATTTCTCTACGAAACAAGCCGGACATTCCGATATTATTTCAAGTTTTCCATTTATTATGGTTTTGTTATGTTTAATTCGGTATTGTTAATACCATTCTTTTGTTTCCGTGCTTTCAACGTTCGAAATTTGGTGTAAGTATTTCAAAAAAAAATTATTTTTCTAGAGACAATTTGACATTTGTATTATTTTTATATATTTCTTGCTATTATTAGTTTTTATAATTGAACTTTTATCACACATATCCATCATCATCAAGGCTGAAAAATGTTTATCGCTAAATTTTACTCTTTTTGCAATATATAAAATAATTTTCTTCGTTAATCGATAATTTCTTGTTTCGTTAATAAATTATAATTTTGCTTCTTGTTATAATTTATGCTTCATTATGCTCTTATCGTATATAGTCTTATTCTTTTTTTTTCCAAGCCAATGACCATCGACCCTTTCATTCACTTAATCACTTAACATTTCCTAGTTTAAATTGATCAATCCTTAGAATTGTTTATTCAATTCTGTCTAATTAACAAAAGTTTGATATTATTTAAAAAAAATTATTTTTTTTTTCGTATAATTTTTATTATTTCTACATATTTTCTAATTATCGATGGGTATATTTTTTATAATTATAAATTGTTAATAATAATAATAAATGTCAAATTGTCATTAAATAATATTATTAAATTAATTAAAAAATTATTTTACAGTGTTGCTTCGAGTTTTTGTCATCATGCAAGTTATTTACTTGGATTACGTTGGGAATTAAGGGGAAGGGAAAATTTGGAGAAAGAACAGGCATGTGTAATTGTTGCAAATCATCAAAGTTCCTTGGATGTTTTAGGAATGTTTGATATATGGCCAGTTATGGATAAATGCACTGTTATTGCAAAAAAAGAAATTTTATACGCCTGGCCTTTTGGAATTGCCGCATGGCTAAGTGGTCTTATTTTTATTGACAGAATAAATTCGGAAAAAGCACGTAGCGTAATTAATTCATCAATCAAAACTATCAAAGAGAATAAGGTAAAATTAATTTTTTCCATATATTTTTCGTAGGTAAGATTTATATTTTTTAAAATATTTTCTATATAATATTCATCGCTATTTATATAAACACAGGTGACGATATATGATTAAAAAACTGTCATTACATTCACAATATTGAAATCAATACTATACGATCCGTTTTATGATATTATATTTCAAAAGTAAAAGTAGTCATTTCATTTAGAAATATGTAGCTAAAAAAAAAGTTTCTAAGAAAATAATAATTTACTAAAAATAATTTATAATAACATTTTTTATGATTTGTAAATTATAAAGGTAGATAAAAAAAAGTATAAATTACGTCGAAAAAAAAATTATAAATAGATTTTTTTATTATTGAATTATTTCAGATAAAATTATGGTTTTTTCCTGAGGGTACAAGACGTAATACTGGTGTAATTCATCCTCTTAAAAAAGGTGCCTTTTATGTTGCTATCAATTCACAATTACCCGTGCTGCCTGTTGTATTGTCTTCTTATTATTTTCTTTGTAAAGAAGAAAAACGTTTTGATTCTGGTAAGTTGTAATAAAGATTGCATAATTAAAATGTACGATCTTTTAAGTCAAGGTGTTATAAATAAAAAAAAATATTTTTTACATTTTGACGACACTAAGCAAAAAGAAATTGAATAATTTTTTTTTTTTTTTGCTTTTAGGACGAATAATTATCACGACTTTGCCTCCAATTTCAACGGAAGGTTTAAGTAAAGATGATGTCGAATCATTAATGGAAAAAACCAAAGAAATGATGATGGAAACGTTACGCGTGACAAATTTGGAAATACAACAATCATTGGCAACGAATACATAACAAAATTATTGATTTAAATTTAATTTATTGAATGACGGTAAGGTAAACTTGGAAAAGAGGAAAAATGATAAATTCTTAAATAATAATGTTAAAGGAGACGCAATATAATATATCTATTATAGATAATTATAACATCTCCATGACGGAACCAAAGACTTAAATCCAATTTTACCAAGTACTGATTTACAAGAGATAGGGATTTCCATTTTTTAAAAATGTCAAGGTCTTCGAATAAAATAACATTTTCTAGTTTTTATCTCATTACATTTTTTTTAACATTCGAAACGAATCTTGCATAAGAGAATAATTTTGAAAATAATACTTTTTTTTATATATATTAACGTGATATAAATACTTCCTCTTTCTCTAAAATTTTAAAATTTATTATTTTTATTATTTCGATTATGTCAAAAAAAAAAAGATTCGTTTCAATGACCAAATATCTATGTAAATCGTACAAATTACTTCGTAAAATGCAAATAATTATTATTATATACCGTCAAAGCACAAATCAAAGTTGACTTGCAATATCTAATCTTAAAAAGATTTTTTTTCAAATTTTCTATTCGTATAACTATATAATATTTAAAGAAAACAACATTCTTTCGATAATAAAAATTTATTTATGATTTGTTGAAATCAGCTAATAATTTATAAATTGAGTATTACGAAACCAATGTTTTAAAGTATTAGTAAAATTTAGAATTTTTCATACTTTTCAATATCACAATTTGTGAGTATAAATAATTATTGAAAAATTGATTTAATTTTGAAAGTAGAAAAAATGTCAAGGACATTAGTCAATTATAATGTTTCGATTTAAAAAAAAAATAATTAAAAATGTTTAATTATATTTATGATTTTCAATTGCAATAATTACAGTAATTATTAAAATATAATATACATTAATTTATTTTTTATTTTAATTACGATTAATTAAATTTATAATTAATCGACTTAAAACTGATATTATTTGTTAAGTAAATGAGGCAACATTTTTTTTTGTTTTTTTTTTTTTTTTTTTTGAAATGTGCTGTGACTATCGTTACCATTAAAAACGTTTGACGATTAACTTTGGTAATTTATATGTAATTATATGTAAGTCAGTGTTGGGTAGTAATTGGTTTCTTTTACCTAATTAAAAAAAAACAATTACTTTCTTAAGTAATCAATTTATTTTATAAAAAGATTTCAATTATTGTTTTATTTTTCTTATCAACTTATTTATCGTTTTTAACAGGAAAATTTTTTTTTCAAAAAAAACAAGTAAATTGTAACAATTGTTTTTGTTGCAAAACTAACTACTTTTAAAAAAAAAGTAAATTACCCAACACTGATTAGTTTATTGAAAAAAAATTACCAAAAAGAAAATACAATTATTTAAATTAAAATTGTAAATTGATTTACATTTTATAAAAAATTAAAATTTGTAACCAAAATAATTGACAATTTTAAGAATTAAATAAAATGAAAAGAAATGGACTTGCTCTAATTTCTATAAGCACTGATGAAAAATTAACACTTGCAAATCGCTCAAATGTGAATAAAACAAAAAATTAATAAATGTTTTCATCTCTGTATCGTGAATTTTTATATCATTTTTTTTTCTAAATTGACTAAAAATATTTTAAATATTTTAAATATTTTAAACCAATTTTAAAATATTCAAAAATATTTTTGAAATATCAATTATAAACCATCTTTATTATTAGGTAATAAAAAAAAATGTAAAAGCAAAACAATTGTTTAATAATAAAAATAGATGTATTACTAATTAACTCACTTTTACTTTATCGCTTTTTTTTACAATACAAAACATAATGTTAAAAAAAAAAATTATTATTTATAATGTAATACAAACTTAAGAAATAGATAAAAAAAAAAAAAAAATTAAATCATATTATCACCAAGAGAATTTTTTTTATCTTGACTCTCGCACCATGCTTTGGCAATGGTTTTTTTCATATCCTCATCGCCCTCTTGATACATTTTTTTCATCATTGTCATTAAACTTGAACTTGGATCTTTTAAATCATCTTCTTGACCTTCTGGAACTAGAGGTTTTTTTAATTCTTTGATTCTTTTTTCAACACCAGTTACGTGTGACCAATTACCAGGTGATTTTTTTGCCAATGAAATGATAATGAGATCGGTTTTTATTTTGAAATTACTTTTTTCGATGTCAATTTTTTCGCAAAGATTTATAATTGGTAGATGATAATTTTTATTATCAAGTCCAAGTACTTGAAGATTCATTGAACATTCGGTGAAATTACAAATAATTGACTCCTTTGGAAGTGAATGAACATTTTTTAATGTTACATAAATCTTCATAAATTTATCAGTTTGATCCCAGCCATAATTGTTTAATTTGACTTCATAAATTTTTGGACCAGATTGTTGAACTAATGTTGATGTTACTTTGATTTCATTTTTATTTATTAAAGTATCAAGTTCAGTTTGTAGTCGTCTTATTTCAATTCCAATGAGATCTTTCGACTTTTGTCGTTTTGCTTGTTGAAGAAGCGAATTGAGATCGTCTATGTCGGATTGAAGCTGAAAATATCGTAAATATTTTGAATTTGTTTTTTATTTTCTTTAGATAAATATATTCAGTTTGCTAAAATTTAAAAGGGAAAAAGAAAAATGAATAGTTAAATTTCAGTATGACTTACTTCTTCAGTCCTAGACATTTTGAATGATTTTTTATACTTTTTTTTTTTTAATTGCAAAAAGCGTTTGTTTGTAGTTATTTAATAGTTAGTTTTTATAGAAACTTTTGAAATTAGATACAAACTTTAATTAAACAAATTTCGTATGAACTTTGTAAAAATTGCTTAGATTCAATGTTGAAGGTTATGTTTGCAATTAATTTTCATGCTCTTTTGGAATTTTTAAAAAAACTCCTATAGTTGTGAATGTAATGCAAATGAGTCGCATTTTAGTTTCTGAAAATTGTCATCATACTGAAGCGCTACAATCGTTTTTGACAATTCACATTTCGGAGGTCCTCGCTGTTTGCGCACATGTTGGTAGAACTGAAAAAATTTAGGTTGGTATTGCGATTTATTTCAAAAATTACCGTTTAGGAAAGTTTCATAAATTCTCAAGTCAGTTTGATTATGCATTGTGTGAATTATATATTTTGTTTATTGCTCAATATTACACTATTTCGGTGATACGCATTGGTTAAAAATTCTATTTGGTGCAATATAAATTATAAAAAATGGTAAGATTTAAAATTTTTACATACTGTTAGAATAATTTTCTTTTATTCTCAAATGTTTTTAACCCACTATCGTAATTCTAACCTCAATATCATGAATTGTAGGCACAAAATTATCGAGGCGATATTCCAAATTCTTCTAAGGTATTAAATTTTATTGAAATTTCGATAATATTTCAATTTCTTTCTATAATATTTATAAAATTTACATGTGTCTATATTTCCCTTTGAGAATATTTTTTATAGTTAAATTTCGTAATTTTATTCAAATGTCTAATTTTTAATAAGTAATAATTTTTTGTTAATTGCAAAATAGTTGCATATTAATAAAATAAAAATAATTAATTGTAAATGATATTGAATTTTATCAACTTTATAATTGAAAACTATATTTATTTAATTATATTAATTTCTTATTTTCAGAGTAGTATTATTGCTGCTGGATTGGGACTTGCGGTTGTTGGATTCACTGGTCGTTATATTTTAAGACGAATGCCAACATTGTCACAAAAAATGGCTGATGCTATGAATGCTTTACCCAAATTAGATTCACAGGTATTTTTTTTGTTGAAATTAAAATTTAATTTCCTTATAATTATATTTTACATAAAATTCTTTCAATAAATTATTTATTTATTTTTAGACATTGGCAAACAGTAAATACTATAAAGGTGGCTTTGAGCCAAAAATGAATAGAAAAGAAGCGAGTTTAATATTAGGAGTCTCACCAACAGCATCAAAAGCAAAAATTAAAGATCAATTTAAAAAAGTAATGATAGCAAATCATCCTGATCGAGGTGGTTCACCATATATTGCTGCAAAAATTAATGAAGCTAAAGATCTTCTAGAAAAATGAATTTAACGTTCCCTATACGTTTTTTTTTTTGCTCCCCGATGGCCGAGAATTGTACAGTTAATCATAAATAGGTAATTTTTCTTTTTTCCTACAAAATTTCTATTGTGACAAACGTTAAAAAAAAAATCCTTGCAAATTTTTCAGTTGTAAATAATCTATAAAATTATGATTTTAAGTGAAATTAATGACTTGATCTTTTCTTTCTGAAAAAAAAAAAAATGAGGAAGATTAGATTAAAATGCGTGTCGTGTTGAGAAAAGAACAATTTTTCATATATATAGAGTAATTTATTCAGATTTAATATTGTTTCTTAATTTTAGAAAACGAATATAGTATTCAAATATTGAGCCTGCTCATTAATTAACAGTCTTTAATTCTGAAAAATATATTACGTTTTAAAATGATGTCGATTATTCTAAAATTGATATTTCAAATCTCAGATTTAAGTGATTACCCTAAATTAATAATAATTTGGGGAATGTTAAAAATTAAAAATTCCTCTCATTTCCAATTTTTTAATTGAGAAATTGATTTTTTTTTTTTTAAATAAAAATGGAGACTATAAAATTTATTTTAAACAAAAATTGAAACATTTTCAAAAAGTTTATTTTTTTTCACTTTCTAATTTAGTTTTCTTAATTCACAAAAATCTGATATTTGGTTTTGTAATGCAAATATCTCAATTTGCTTAACATTTTTTTTTTAATTTTATTTAATTGAATTATTCACAGCAATAAAATCAGTTTCTCAAAAAAGTCACACACAGACACAGCTAACATATTGTATCATATTTGTTCTTTTTTTTTGTTCAATTCATAAAAACGCATTCAAACTTTTAAAAGAAAAGGAAAAGATTCCTTTTGAAAATTGCAATTTTTAGGTAAATTATTGAAAAGAAAAAATATTACAAAACAAAAAATGGAAGATACAGTTCTATATAAGAATTCTATTTTTATGATGATCATTTTTTTCAGCTAAATCAATTAGTTAAATTAAAAATTAAATTATGGCTTGTTTAATTTGTTTTTTCGATCTTGTTAAGTTTTCAAATTTCACAGAAACTGAAATGTTACACAATCCTCTTTTTTTAATTCTATGGCTCTTTTTTTTGTCATAAAACCTATTTTTACCCTTCCAATTAATGACAGTAAATTATTAAAATTGATTTTAATTATTAATGATGAAAAATGAATTCAGCTACGTCGTAGAAAGTTAGTAATACGATCTAAATATATTTTTATTTACGTATAATAATTGACCCTCTTTTTTAAAAAGAAGGGAATCTCGCTTTTTTGAGAACCATTCGTCTCTCGGAGGTTCTAATTCTTAACTTAGTAATTGCGCTACGAGGTAGAGATCCAGGCTCCTTGAAAATGCTCTGAAAAAATTTTATTTTTTTCAGATACAGTAAAAATAGGAATTTATTTCTATTTAATTAGCTTTTTTTTTTTAAATTAATTTCATAAAATACCTGCATAAAGTCATGGCAGTGCAGGACGATACTGTCTTTTGTAATTTCTTTAAAACAACCTGCTAATACTGCAAAATCTTGACAGGCTAATAAATTTCCTTTATTTCTCTTTATCAATGTTAATGCAACTCTAAAAATAATTTTGCTACCTTCATAAAATAAACAATCCCAAATTCTAAGAGTTGTCTGTAAATAATAATTAATTTTCATTATAAATTTTTTTTATGAAAAAATTCATTTAAATTGAATATAATAATTTACCTCAATTGGTAAAACTTCGGCAAATAAACAAATGAACCATTTCGTGGCAATTACAGCCCAGGGTAAACCCAAATTAGTAATATGTTGATGTACATCTGGTATTTTGATTCTAAAATTTCATTTTGCATTTCAATTGATTAGAAAAAAAAAAATCATTTCTTGTTTAGTTGATTAGATTTTATAAAATTTAATTCACCTGACTAATTCTTCTAAGACATCAATGTCTGTTAATAAACCATCCATTGTTGGAGTATAATAATCAGGTAGAATATTCTCAATTAACGCTTTTAGAAGCCAAAATGCTGTTTCTTCATTTTTTGTTACTAAAAATAATAATCCTGCTATGTAATTCAGTCCCTAGAATAGTAAATAGATTTTTTTTATTAATTTTCCATTCGTTTATATTGAATTTTATTTTTCACATTTATTTTTTTAAAAACTTACTTGGCAGTAACCAACGTCTTTGTTTTGATGAGCAAAAGCAAGTAAAATATTATAAAGTTGAAGTTGATAGGCTTTTGTATTATTAAAAAAAATATTGTCGGGAAAAGTTCGAGGAAGATCTGTTCTTATAATTTCTGACACTTCTGAATTATGTGGACCGTCTAACAAATGTTGATATAAACCTGGCGTTGCATTTTTTAATTCTTCTCCTCCACTTACAATGAGCCAAATCTAATTATAAAATTTATTAATTTATTTTAAAAAGCGTCAAATATAATTACGAAAAAGAAAAAAAAAAAAAAACTTACCAATGCTCTGTGTTCTCCAGGAATTCCTTTTCGAACATATCTTTTTAATGTTGCAGTTCGTTGAAGATTTCTTCCATTTTCAATTATTTCTGCCCATTTTTTAGCTCTTTTCGCTAATACCTTTAAATATTCGGACATAAAATCTTCATACGTTTGATAATCAAAATCTGATGATCTTTCGAATCCATATTCGTCCACATTGCTAATTAATAAAAAAAAAAAAAAAATACAAAAATTAGTTTATATTTAAAAACAATCTTTTGTTTACTGATATTCTTATATTTACATTATAGAAATTTTTCTGACTAATATATTGAGCAATTTTATAAGACAGAAAGTCAATTCTTTTTTAACGAAAATTTCTAACAAGATTAGTAAAACAATTGTAATTGAAAATAATCTATTGAAACAATGGTTAATTTTACCTGAAACATGAAGTAGCCATTCCATAATTTGACCTAAAGACATAAATAATAAAAATACACGAAAGGGTTAATCAGCTGATTAAAAGTCTCTAAACTTCCTAAAGAACATTCTCGGGAATATTCTCTTTCATGAGAAAGTTAAAATCGTTAAATAAAACTATAATTTATAAAATCTGGTAAAAGTAGATATAAATACTATATTTAACATATAAATCGAGAAATCCAGTTTTATTTATACTTTTATAAAAGTAAATATATATAAAATTAACCAAAAATGACAGGTGACAGCTGAATGTGCGCTTGCGCATATCGTGGAATATCAAATTTAAGGTTATAATTTAAAAATATTATTTTTCATTACTATTTAATATTAAAATATTATTTTCATATTTAATTTAATATTTTTTGAAATAGTAAAAATAATTTTCTCAAAAATTCCATGACAAAAAGTTATTTTACAAAAATAATGCGTGGCGGGAAAAAAGATGGTGGATTTTAAATAAGTTTAGTTCTACAAGTTGCCGCTACCGCTGTGGTGGCGTTAGTGTGAACCGACGCCATGACGCCATTTGCAATTCCTGTGCAGTACGTGAAGGACGTAATTTATTTATTCCAATCCGTTGAAATCTGAGCGTAAATATAGTATAATTAGCATAAATATACGATAATCTTTTAATTAAAATATTCCGTAATTGTTTGAGAATAATATTTCTTTGACCGGTAAGCTAAATTAATCTAAATATTAAAAAACAAAATTTTAATTCTGTGTCCACTGCGCATCATCATTTTATAGAGCGCGAAGAGTTTTGCTGTTAAATTCACGTCAATTGTACAGCAATGTCAAAAAAAAAAATTATTTTTTCTCAATTTAAAACAAGTGTAATTAACAATTACTAAATTTGCAAGAACAAATTAAATTCACAAACTTTGGAAGCATCAAATTTTTAAGGTTAGTTTTTTTTCTTAATTTAATTATTTAAATTGCAAATTTAGTGAGTATTAATATTTTTTATCCAATATTTTACATATGTAACAATATTTACTATTCTCGAAAATATTATTTATGTAATTTTTTTTATAATCCCCATTTAAAACTCTACAGCTGATTTTAATCGGCCTTTATTCTTTTTTTCACCAATGAAATTCTCTTGTTGAGCTTTTAAAATTTAAATTCAACTGTTATTATTGGTGGAAATAATGAACACATAACCTCAATTTTATAACTGCAAATTTGCATAAGGGTTTTTTTTTCATGCGGTGCATGTGTTTTCCAAAAGTCGGCATTTTCATTTTATTATTTGTTTAGTTTTTGCGATACGCTAATAGTGCGCGTTAATGAAAAATGAGTATATTATATTCAACCGAAAAAGGTTGGATTATTTCCCATCTTCAATATATTGATAAATTGTACGCAAAAGTTCAAAATAGAAACGAAAGTAATTTTTTCTATTCATTGCATTTTAATAAAGATTTATTTAATATAAATTCAAAATTTTTACGAAAAAATCAATTAAAAAACGCGAGTGATGAATTGAGTGTTTCAAAATCGAGAAAGAGAAAGAAATTAAATTTACTGCCTGATGATTTTTTGAAAGAAGTACGTAATTCTGATTTATTAATTGTAATTATACTTTTTGTTTTAACGATGGAAATTTTATATATTGTTTTTTTTTTTTTTTGCCTTTTTTCAGATAAAACATGTGAGAGATATATTTAACAATTTTATGAATACCCTGGAGGCAAAGAAGATATTTTCAAAATCTGTTAATTCGGATAATAATGAAGCTGCACTTACATTGTCTCGTCAATTATTTTATACTAGTCAAAAAGTATTAAATAATTCTTCTATTGAAGGATCATTTATCGAGGAAACATCGATAAAAATTCTAGAAAATGAAGAATTTGTAATTCCCAAAAATTGTGAATTTTTTTGCAACGATGTTCGTAATTTAAATGAAAAATTATCATTCAATAATCAATTTGATTTTATTCTCATGGATCCTCCTTGGTGGAATAAATCTATTCGAAGAAAGAAAGCAAAATTTATTGAATCTAGGTAAGTCTTTTTTTTTTTAAATTTATTATTTTTTTTAATGAAATTTAATTAAATATTATAATATTAGCTACAAAATGATGTACAACAATGAGATGACTAATTTACAAATTGGAAAATTATTAAGTAAAAATGGAATTATTGCAATTTGGTGCACAAATTCAGCAAGTAATTTACGTTGTATTTTAGATGAAATGTTTCCATCATGGGGCGTGAAATTTTTAGCGAAATGGTATTGGGTAAAAGTGAGTGTTTTTTTTTGTTTTCATTTATTAATATTGTATTTTTTTTCCCTAATAAATTATTTTTTTAATAGATTACCAAGTCCGGTGATGTTGTCTGTGATTTTAATGAAACTCATGGAAAACAACCATACGAATTATTAATAATAGGAACTAGTGAATTTAATTCAAAGATTGATATTCCTAATGAAAAATTAATTGTCAGTGTACCAAGTGCAATGCATTCTCACAAACCTCCTCTCAATGGTAAAAATAATAAAATATGAAAATAAAATTTAAAAAAAAATATATATAAATTATTTACAAATAAAAATTAGAAAACTAATTGTAAAATTAATTTTAGAAATCATCGCTCCATATTTAATGGAAAATCCAAAGTGTCTGGAAATTTTTGCACGATATTTGCTGCCCAATTGGACGAGTTTTGGTTATGAAGCTTTAAAATTTCAACATATCGCCTTTTTCACACGCAATGAAGAGGAAAATAAAAATGTTTGAAGTTCAAGACGTAAAATTCTTTATTTATATCGTGAGTAAAATTTTTATTTATAATTTATTTTTTTTTTTCCATTTTTTCAATAAATTAGATTATAAAACGTGTAAAAGGACAAAAAGGAAAAATCTACAAGAACATTTTGGTATATTTTACTGACACTTGTTTTTTTCTTTTTTTTTTACTTTTATCTATTTTTCTGAATTTCCATTTTTTATACACGAACGATATCCATGTGGATTCATTGATTGCCACCTCCAAAAATCTCGACCTAAAATTAAATAATTATTTTAATTAGTTTTATTTAAAAATGTTTGTTATTTTTTTTTTAACTTACACATTTGTTCGACACTGAATTTTGCTTTCCAACAAAGTTCTTCTTCAGCTAATGTTGTGTCGGCAAACATTGATGTTATATCGCCCTCTCGTCTGTCTTTAATTACATAAGGCACCGATGTTCCTGTTACTTTTTCAAATGTTTTTACTAATTCAAGAACTGAGACTCCTTTACCCGTTCCTAAATTAAATATCCTTAATCTCATATGTTTCTTATAGAGTGCTGATAATGCAGCAACATGTCCCGTTGCCAGATCCATAACATGAATATAATCTCGTATTCCTGATATAAAAATTAAAATTAAAATTTTATCCCCTTAATTTTTATGATTTTAAAGTTTATTTTTTATTATTAATTATTAATTTTGGACTTTAATAATATTTTTCATCTTTGGAATTTTATTATTAATTTCATACCTGTTCCATCTTCAGTTGGATAATCTCCTCCAAAAATAATAAGTTCGGGTTTAAGACCCAATGCAACTTGTGATATGTAGGGCATTATATTTGTATACTTTTTCGTAGGATCTTCACCTATTAAACCACTTGGGTGAGCACCCACTGGATTAAAATATCTCAGAGAAATTATATTCCAACTCTGGAATAAATAAAAAAAAAAAATTGTAATTTCTTTTTTAAAACTGATTTCTTTGAAAAAAAAATAGTAATAATGTATTTTCTATTCTATTTTAAAAAAATTGAATTTCTTTTTTTTATACCTTTTCGGCTCTTGTTATGTCGTTTAGCATTTCTTCGATAAAGTACTTTGTTCGACCGTAAACGTTTGTTATATTTCCAGTAGGATGATCTTCTGTTATAGGAAGACTCTTTGGTTCTCCATAAACTGTACAAGAACTACTGAAAACTAACTGAAAACAACCAGCAGCTTTCATGACCTAAAAAATTAATTAAATTATTAATAACTTTAAATTTTTACCTGCAAAAATATTAATTAAACGAAAAATATAATAAAATTCTTGAATTTTTTTTTTCACCTCTAGCAAATTGATAGCACCAATTATATTATTTCGATAATAGTGAAGTGGAATTTCCATAGATTCACCAACAGCTTTTATAGCTGCAAAATGAATAACGCAATCGATTTTGTGCTGAAAAAAATAAATTTTTTATTAATTTTTTTTTTTTTTTAATAAAATTAAAATGGTTGATTTTGTTACCTTGTTAAAAACCTCTTGGAGTCTTCCTTTATCAAGAAGATCACAATTGTAAAATTTAACTTTTTTCCCAGTTATTTTTTCAACTCGTTTCAAAGCCGCTGATTGTCCATCATCTTCATTTACACTATTTGTAAAATTGTCAATTGATATTACATCGTATCCACTTTCTAAAAGTTCAACAATACAATGACTACCAATATAACCAGCGCCTCCAGTTACAAAAATTGTCTTCCATTCTGTTGTTGCCATCCTAATAGAATAAAAAATTTAATTTTCAAAAATATCATTTATTGAAAAATAATTAGGTTCGAATTTAATTATTCATTACTTAATTTATATTTAATTTAACATTTTTATTCTTATTTTAAATAACTTTTATTTTGTTACATGTTCTTTTAAAATAATTATTTTTCAATGACTTTTATACTGTAGAGAAAAATATCTATGTAACTAGTATCAATGAAGCAATTGAATAATCAATAATTATTTACTGTATATGTTTGAAACTACAAACTTCTATAGAGTCTAAAAAGAATTTGTAGAATTTTAACTATTCTGTATATATATAATTCAAGTTGAATTAGAGGAGAAAAGGAAATATAGAACAGAATAATAAATTACTTGCTCACAAAGTTTTTCGAAGACTATATATCTTCATTAATAAATCAATGCATCTTTCTAATGTAAATTGCATATTCTACGCGTCCATAGTTTTGTTTAATATATTTTTCACTCTTAGAAGAATAAAGAAAAAAAAAATTGTATATTTTCTAAATTAATATTAAAATATTTCATTTTAAATTTAGAAATTAATTTAAAAAAAATTTATTCTCTTTAATATTTAATAATTAGTAATATTAATATTTAATCAAAAAATTTATATTTCCTATATTTTGATAAATTCAATTTAGACTCTATAATAAATTGAAGTATTTTATTAATAAATTATTTTTATAGAATTTTTTTTTCAAGTCCAAATTGCAATATTGTGTTGTCTTCTGTAGTCATTGACTTCAAAAGGGACCATTTTGCAGGTGTACGGACGTTCACCTTTAATCAAAGTAAGGAAAGCGAGTTCAAGGTCGTGACAAGTCTCCTGTTTGAGATCTTTTAATTATTTCACCTTAATGAATTTTTCAAGTCATTATAATTATAAGATTAATAATTATTTCCCAATTTTTATATTCACTTTTTATTAATAATTCAAATTGACAATCAAAGAAGTTTTCTTCAAAAATTTTTAAATTATAATTTTTATAATAATAATATTAATAGTAGAAAATTTTTAATAAATTTATTATATTTTTAGTAAAGTTTTTATATTTTTTTAAAATAGAGAATATTTACTCTAGTGAATGAACTCATGTCATAGATATTTAATGACATCTCCACATGTTTACGTGAAACTTGGAGAATTTTTTTTATTTGAACAAAAAATCAAATTTATTTCTCAGTAATTCTTATGGCATCGCATAATTCCTCTCTCACTAATACGAACGTAACGGTATAATCGAGAAATTCTTGAAGCAACTTAAGGAAATGTTTCCCTTTAGTTATATTGTATAGAGTCATTAGTTTAATGATTAATTTCAGAAATAATTTTTTTTTATATAAATAATGAAAAAAAAATTGCTTTATAATTATTTTGATATTGAATATTTTTTTTCACAATTTTTTTTCGTATTTTGCATTTTTTTTCGATTGTCAATTATTTTTAAAAAGAAAACAAATTATTTGTTTCGAATTTTGTTTTATTTGTAAAAAAAAATTCATGTTTCATTTTAAGAAACTTCAATTAAAATTAATAAATTTTTTTAATCGAAAGTGTTGGATAATTAAAAATTTACTCTTAAATATCTTTGTAATATTTATTTGTAAAATTGTATAATTAATGTATATTTTATTTATTTGTAATAAATTTTTGTGTATTTTAATTTACTGTTTATTTTTGTTTTGAAATTAAATTTTTTTTTAGAAATTTTAATTTTACATTATAAATTAATTATTTTCGATTTGTAATAAAGAAATTTTTTTTTTTTTGGTTTCAGAATTTGTGACTGATAAAATTGACGAACCTGTTGACGGAATCCATGTCGATGGAGGAAAACAGAAGTTGTTTGAGACACTTTCAATTATAAAATGAGACAATCCACTTAATGAGACTGGAAAATCGGATGGTTTTCAGCTTTTTAGCTTCGTCGTTGGAAACCAATTGATGATGCATCACATCTGCACAACCGTTCTCAAAGACTTAAAGGCTGCTGAAGCTCTTCTGGCTCCCCTCCATCCTGGTTTGACCTAATATCCCTATTTAAACCTTCACCAATCTCTAAGAACTCAGTCGGTATTAGTCTTTATTCAAGGACATCTTCAGTCTCTTCTTTCAAAAAAAAAAAGAAGAAAAAAAAAAAAAATTTCAATGGGTGCATTAATTTCCATTGACGTGTTGATACATTACTTAAAATTGGATAGTTTTCATTTTCTTTTATTTCAATTTTGACACATTATTTAATTTACGCATTTGATAAAATTCTCGTTAAAAGAAATTGGTATCGAAGTATAAGTTTCTAATTTTGGGAATTTAGATGAAAATTTAAAGAAAAAATTTTTTTTAATCATTTTTTTAAATTATAAAAATTTATCATTCAATAGAGAATTTTGTGATTATTTGTAACTTTATAGTTAAACATGAAAAAAAAGTTTGACATTTTTTCTCCCTAATAATGTGAGACTTTCTTAATTTCACATGTTTTCGAAATCGAGATAAATTTGCATTTTTTTCAAACTATAATATACATACAGGGTAATAAATAAAGTTATGAAATTTTTGTAGAGACTGATTATGTTCTTGAATTTTCAAAAAGTCATCAAATTTCGATATTTGCATTAAATCTCAAAGACTAATAAAAAATAGATACCGATTGTTTTTTTTTTTTAAATTTAAATAAAAGAATTTTATGAATGAATATAATAATTAGAATGATTTAAATTTAACTAAATTATACAAATTTTATTATTTTTGAGCCGCAAATAGAAATCTTTTTCTTCATTTGCGAGTGTAAACAAAATTTTCTTGAGAAAAATATTAGTTTTAAAAGAAAAAGAGAGAATATTCATAACTTCTTTTATTAGATTTAAAAAACAAATTCTTAACAACATTCTATATGTACAAAATTTAAATAATACATGAGCTCAATTCATTCGTATTGTATTGAAAAGATTATTTTTATTCCTATTTTTTTTTTTTTTTTATTTTAAACACTTGCAGATTTCTCTTTAACTTTTATTAAAGGAAACATTTTTCTTTTCGTTTTTTTTTTTGTAAATTAATATAAATGATTCGAAGTATTTTAATTTAATTAATAGTAAATTTTTATTAACTAAACAAGAATTAGAAATAATATTTAGAAATTGAAAAAAATTATTTTCAATTTAACAACAATTTTTCATGTTCTTTTCAGTTTTTAAATTATTATTTTAATTAATTTTTTTGACATGACAACGTCTTACTACGAGGTAATTAAATAAATTTTTTTTTAAGTGTGTTTAAGTACAAAAATAAATACGAAATAAAAATCTTATAAAATATATTTTAATTAATTAAAAAAGACGTTGTCACGATCAAAATTCTCCGTCTGTATAATTTTTTATATTTAATTCTGAGATGTTTAAAAATGCTATAAACTTACATTTCCAGGGGAAAATAAAATTTTTGTATTTTATAGACATGCAAAATTTTTTCAAATTACCAAATTTAATTTTCATTAAAATTTATATTGTAAATTAATAAAATTCAACTGATTAATAATTAGCAGATAATATTTTTGCTAAGAGTTTAATTTTCATTCACATGTTTATAATGTAAGTTTATAGTAATTTTCGTCTAATTGCATATATAATTTGTAAATTTTAACAAATTTTTTATTTCAGTATTTTTTTTTATATTCATAGGAAATTTTTGAATTCAAATTTTTTTTTTGTTTACAGGTTCGCAATTTATCAGCAGATGTCGCTTTCACTAAAAAGTACTAATTCTCACTGTGAGATGGCGCCACCAATCCATTTTTTTAACGGAAATAAAATTTCCCATCAACAATCGATGACAGTTGGAGCAAACTATAATATATATATATTCGTTGAAAGAAATATCGTGATAAAAAAAAGATAAAAGCAGTGTGAAATAAAGTGAAATTCTTAATTAATTATCAATATATCGCGAATAATAATCATAGTCTTCATTCGTTAAATCGTAAAATTATAAATCCTTTAAATCGTGACTCGCGAAAATACATACTAAACCAGCAGACATTTGTGCCGGAGTGAGAACGTCATGTTGACTATGACGATATATAAGTGAACTTTTATCAATAACATATACTTTAAATTCGTTATCGCAATTGTTTTTTAACGTTTAAAATCTTCTTTTAAATAATAACACATTTTGTTTCACGTTTATACCTTATCAGTTTGATAAACAATTCGTTTTAGTTTTTATTTTAATATATACTACTACATATGTAGTCGGTGGAAAAAGAAAAAAAAAGTCATATTTATTCGAATTCTATCTCTCTCTCTCGTCCATTGTGTGTGCTTTCGTCTTGGAGAAAATTTGTGTTTGTGAAATTGTGTTTATTATTCACGGGATTAGTGCAAAAAAAAAAAAATATCAACTGGAATTCTGGACCCAAGGAAGGCAATTGTCCCTAACATCGACGACGACGACGACGTATCTCGGACAACATGACAGAACCTGGAAAAATGTAAGTCTCTCTTTCTCTCTCTCTCTTTCTTTTTCTCTCGTATATTTTGCGTAATAATTGTTCACCACGAGGGCGCGGGAAACGAGCATGGACTCGCCAAAAGAGGTTGGAAACCATCGCACAATTTTCTCTCTTCTAGCAATTATTATCATTTTTTTTTTTTTTTTTTCATATCTCGTCTTTTAGAATGGAATTGGAAACTAGAATACTATTTTGAATTTTCAATATTTTGTGAGATTTTTTTTTTTTTTTTATCTCGGTAACATTTTTTTTTTCTTTGAAAGACATCTGCGATTCTTTTATTACGCAAGACACGCTGAAATGCAATAAGTTTCTGCCTTGTCTGCTCATTGAATTTTGCATTTGTGTGAGAGACTGCATAGAAAATACGTGATGTCAGGGGTTTTAGAGTTATATGTAAATTTTTTTTTTATTATTATATATTTATATATATATATATATGAAAATAGAATTTCGGTTGTAAATCATTCAAATAATTTCTTTTAATTTATACAATGCCAGAAGTAGCTGCTGCTCTTTTTAAAAAATTTTTTTTTACTAAAAAGAAAAGATATTTTTTTTTTTTTTTTTAACAAAAATTTAGTTTTTATGTCAATTTATTAATAATAATAATAAATATTGTGAATTAATTTTTATAGATGAAATCAAATAAGTATATAAAAATTATTAAAAAAAAATAGAAAATAAAATAAAAAATAGAAAAAAATACCGACAAGGCCAGCCTAAATGAGAACTCGAGAGAGACGGGAGTGACTTTCCATCGGTTTTCCAGGCCGACGAAGGTCACGACCGATATTCAGAAAATGAGAAAACGCTTTTGTCTCATTCGGGTTTTTTTTTTTTTTTTTTTTAATTCGCACCAATGACTCCCTCTCTTTTTTTCATATTTTGACATGGAAGCTTTTTCTTTGCATTTTTTTTTCTTTCCTTTTTTTCTTTGTATCTTATCAGTATAGTTAAATTTGTTTATAGTAAATTCATCTGTGATAAAACATTTTATTAAAAATTATATTTAAATTATTATTATTATTATTTTTATTATTATTATTATTAATATTATTATTTTTATTATTATTATTATTAATATTATTATTTTTATTATTATTATTATTATTATTAATTTAATTAAAATTAAATATTCTGAAATTTAAAAAATAAAAAAATATTGAAGCAAAATTTTAATGAAATAAAAATTAATAATTTTTATGATGACGTTATTTTTTGAAACGAAATTTTTTTTTTTTCGTCATGATATATGAAAGATGATAGTTTTGTTTTCAAAGAAGTATAATATTTTCTTTTCTTTTTTATTTATTTATTTTTTTTTTTTTTTAGTCTATCGGTCTTGATTGTTTGCTCGTTGTGCAAAATTTTGCATCGATCAATGTGAATTAGTAAAGTAAGCACGATTGAAATGACCTCTGTCAATATTGCAATCAATGACATGGTCATTCATTGAAAAGACTCTTACAGTTGATCCGGAAAATTTTTTTGAGCCTAATATATATGTACGTTACTTCTGGCATATTCATTTAAAAGAGATCACGTTTTTTTTCTTTTTTTTTTTTTTAATATATAAACGCGTGGCTTATTAATAAAATTTTAAGATTTCAATATATAGATGAAAAATAAATTAATCTTGTAAAATAAATTTTTTTTTTTTTTTTAAATAAATAATTTTGTTATTTACAGTTCATATATTTTTTATTCGGATAAAAAAGTTTTTGAAATGTGGTTACAATTTTTTAAAATAAAATTGTCTTTTTTAAAAATGCAAATTTGTTTCATTAAATGATATATCATATAAATTCTTTATAAAGGAGAGAAGAAAAAAAAATGTTCTACATTCTCTAATAGCTATCTCTGTTTTTTGGGTTTAAATTACTCCCATGGTGTGTGTAACGTTTTAAATTTTACACGTAGGAAGTTTGTCAACTTGGAGAGAATTTGAAAAAAAATTTTTAAAATCGTCTACTTTTTTTAAACGAATAATTTTAATTATTATTTTTATTATTATTATTAGTGCTATAAATTTATCCCTTAGAAAATCATTTTTAATTATTAATTAATTATTATTAATTTTATTAATTATTATTTATATTATTAATAATTTAAACAAATTCATTTTTTTTTACTAATATTTTTTCTTATTATTAAAACAAAGGTGATAAATAAAAATTCTAATTTTCAAAAAATAAATTTCCAATTTTAGTAAAGAACATTTTTAATTAATTATCAGGGAAATTATGTTTAGTGGTCATATATTTTTTTTGATCATTATGCTTTCGAATGTAGGTCAATTTAGTGAATTCTAAACAAATCTGTTGATTTTCTATGTACATATATATATATATATATATATATATATAATTTTGTGGTATTAAACGTAATATAGGTTTAATATATTGATTTTTCATAAAAGATAATATTTTAGGGGGAGATAAATTATTTATTATTATTGTATTATTATTATATAATTTTAATTAATGAAAGATGATTCGAAAAATTGGTAAAGAAATTTGTCGAAAATTGAGCTTAAGGTATCCCGGACAAGACCGTCGATACTGAGTGACCTTGCGGCATCGACCGGCCCTCTACCTTTTTCTCGGCCTTTCGGAGTCTAGCTACTTCGTTTCGTATATATCCCTCTCCTTTTCTCCTCCCAGATTTTCATCCCTCTTTGACTGAATCACTCGTGTCTTGCTGTGAGAGAATTTTTTTTTTTTAACTTTCACTCCCACTATATTGATATATTTTTTTAGTATTTATGTTATTTCTTGTTTATGGGAAAAATAAATTGTGATTATTTTCATTTATAAAAAAATTTTTTTTTTTATCTCCATTTTTTTGAGCATCAAATCGTTAATACAGTTACAAAGTTTAATTTCGACAGGACAATTATTTTTAATTAAATTCTTTCTTCTCTGTCTATTTTTTTTTCTCTCTCTCTCTCCTTCTCACTGAGAGAAAAAAGTATTCGTTTCCAGTCATTTCAATGTCGAGAATATAGTCGCGAAAAGACAATTGTTTAAGCGGATTTCCGTTAATTTAAAAATGCAACTCAATTCCAAGCGATCACTCAAAAAAAAAAAAAAAAAAAATTAACTTTGCATTTAATTTGCCTCAAGTCTATTTTTAATTATTCAGAGGCTAATCTCTTTATATACTTATCGTAGTGTATATTATATTCGTAGGACTTAAAAATTTGAACAAAAAGATTTTCAATAGTATAAAAAATATTATTATATTTGACATTTAATATAGTAATATAGAAAATAAAGAAAAAGGGGTAAATTTTTCATCTCTCTCAAAGAGATGTATTTTTCCTTTTTTCTTTTAGAAATTTTAGATCGTCAAGTACAGTAATTTGTCTTCATTATTTTTAATGGTTCTTGTTTTGTCTGTTTCAGGTAAGTTTCTTTGTGGTCCTAATTAATCTTCTTCGAACTAGTGCGGTAAGAAACATTATTACTCTTATAGATACTTATATATATATATATATTATATGTTCTTTATGTGTCTTAACATTTTTTAAAATTAATCTTCACTTCCAGTAATTGGAAATTTTGCTACATATATATTTCTTTTTTTAAAATATATTCTGCAAGGAATATTTCTTATTTTTTACACTAAAAAAAAATTTATTTGATTCAAATACCGGTGTATTTGGTTATTATCAAATAAATATTTATTTGAATCAAATATATAGTATTTGAATCAAATATTTCAGTATTTGAAGCAAATACAATTTATTTGATTCAAATAAGAAATATTTGATTCAAGTAAATATTTATTTGATAATAACCAAATACACCGGTATTTGAATCAAATAATTTTTTTTTCAGTGTATTTTCAAATTGATATTGAAAATTAATTTTACAAATTACGAATTTGTATATATATTTTTTTAATACAAAAATAAATTAAATATCTCTCTCTCGGATGTAAAAATGAACTTTTCTTCTGACCTTCTATATTTGAAGAGGTTCTGTCGTACTTTTGATCGATTTTCTCTCGCTAATTACGAAAAAAAAACATTTTTTCATTAAAAAAAACAAACTCAAATTATATTTAAATAGTGTCTGGAAAAATTAAGAAAGAATTTAGATAGTTTTTTTGGAATTCTATACCGGGTAAAAATTTTGTATCTTAAAATAAGATTAATTTGTTTTAAATTGAAAAAAAAAAATTTATTTTTGATTCAAATAATCGGTTATTTAAACCCAATAATCAGTTTACTAATAATCATAATAATAACGTATATTTTTTTTCAAATAAATAAATAATTATTTTTTCAATAATTAATTGTTAAAAATATTATTTTTATATAATTATTTGTTAAAAATATTATTTTTATATATAATTATTGGTTAAAAATAGTATTTTTAAAATAAATATAAAAATACATTATTTTGACTTCAAAATGGAAAAAAAAAAATTTATTTGATTCAAATAATCGGTTACTTGACTATTATCAAATAAATATTTATTTAACTGTAACAAATTGCAATTTAATTGATTGAAATAATAATTATTCAATAAAAATAAATAAATTTGATATATAATAGTCAAGTAACCGATTATATTTGAATCAAATAAATTTTTTTTCGCTGTGTTATAGACAATAAATAATTTTTTAATAAAATTCAACTTTTTAAAAATTGATAAAAATAAAATTACATTGAAACACATAAGTTTAATTTTGTTTTTTTTTGTATTTAAAAATTCGAAAATATGCAAATAACTTTTGTTTCAATTATTTATCTAATTTTTTTCTTAAATTACATTTGTTTCAATTATATAAATTATTGATTCGAATACGTAGTTTATTATATATAAATTGAATTAAAAATTTAGTTGGTTCAAGGAAATATTTAAAAAATAAATAAGTAAATAAATAATAAGTAAATAAAAAATAATTAATAAATGAATAATAAATAAGTAAATAAATAATAAATAAAGTAAATAAAAAATAATTA